AAATCAAGTCTTCAATGTCCCCCCAAGTACTTGAAAAGTATTTCATCTGCACCTTCGGTTTTTTCAATGAATACTCTTAATTTATCAAGTGATGCTTTCGCTTCTTTTGTAGAGACAACTAATGGATATTCCTCCTCTTCATCTTCGTCTGAGTCGGATTTAGGAGTCGGTTGCACTGCGTCTACAATGTCTTGATCACTTAATACTCCAGTTGTATGTATCTTAGTAGTGTATCATTTGTACATTTGTGATTGTAAACTGGTTATTCTAACGATAAAATGTAAGAAATGACTTCGAGTTATCTATGCTCAACTATTTTTATATTTGACTTATCGCGACAAATATTGCATTGAGTGTATAGGCATTTCCTAGGGACAAAAAAAAAATTCGAGTTATCGAGACTCGACTGTATCATATACGTTATGCAATATGCATTAAAGCTAATTGGTATTGTCTTAAAATGTTTATTCAAGTACCTAATATTATAAAGTATAGTTTGAATTTAAATTGTTTAGAAATTKAAGTTTTACATTTTATCTGTACAGTTTCTAATAAATTTAAAACCACTTTAAAAATGCATCTGAATACGCCTGCAAGTTTATAGCAAGATTTCCAATAGGTATAATAATTATAGGTAAAACACTGATTAGCATTTCTTTTACAATTTTAATAACTATTATTCAAATACCTTAATTTGATTTGAGTGATGTTTGTTTGAACTTCTTTTTGAGTACTTACCTTATAATGGGTATTACATATTATATACAACGAAGCATTTATATATGGTTATCAATTTATGTCTTCAGTCATATTTTTTTGATGAATTGGTGTATTTGTGAAAAAGCGAATATTTAAATGGAATGTGACTGCCGGTCATTCGATACTTAAAAATATTTTTACACGCACGCATGTGCAGTGTGCACTGTGCACCCACTCAAAAACATACACACTCACAGAAATATATATAAGTCCGTCTGCAAAAGTGAAAATGTTTTTCGAAAGAGAACCGGTAACCTAATAAACACGGTGTGTGTGTTGGCGTGGGGTCCAAAGTGCCGAGTGGCCGCCGACACAGCTCTTACGGTCCCGCGGGAACTTCGCCGCCGCCTCTGGTCGGGCAATTTGGTCAATTTGCTTCGTAAAAGAAGAGAAGAAGAACACAAGTGGCTGGCGCGCGCCAAGGGGAAACCGTTGTCATTGATAATTCCTTCTTTTTTTCCTCTCTTTCTATTTTCTCACTACACCTTGTCCCCTCGCGTTCACCGAAACGCTAACGTTTTTATTTCCTCCACCGCCAATCAATGTGCACCAGATCGTATATGTGAGTGTATAGTGTATATGTGTGTATATATATATATATATATACGGACGTTAACTTCGTTTGCCTTTGAAACGTGTACAAGGGCTGCCAATACGACAGCAAAATTATCGCGTAATTTCTCGGACACTGCTGCAGTAATCAACTGCAGCGCTATATATATATAATACATTATATAAGTGCATAACGATATACCTATAATATGTATTTCATTATCGCTGTGCCCGTCAAAATACACATCCAAAGTCCCAAACCTCAAATCATTATCGACTGTCAAGCTTATCACAACTCTGAGCCGCTCTTGAATATCGCTGTAAGACTAAATATATTAATTCATATATACATCCATCACGAGTAAAAATTCGTCACATATCAACAATACAAAATATATAAGAATTGATGATATATAAGTTATAAGTAGTATGGACTAACAATGACTAGAATATTTTACTGTCAATCTGTATTGTGCAGTACTTATCTCGTAATCATTATATGTATTATTACCTAATGTGATTTATAAATCTGTTAATTTATGTTTTAAATTATTTATTTAAAATCATAATTATTATTTTATTTTTGTAAAAAATGTCAAAGATCTTATATATTCATTCATAAAAATTCAATACTCATATTATACTATAATGTTTAATTTTACTTAAAGCACAGAATATGCATTATATCAGTTACATAATAATACCTATATAGGCTATAGGTATCCTAAATATATTTATATATATGTTACCGTAAATGCCCGATCACTATGGTAAATCTAGGTTTTACTAGTTAATGCTAGATTCTACTGTTTGTACTCAGTAAATGCTGAAATTCTTAATTTTATTCGGGCTTTWACTAAACACGTTGTGTACATCCTATACAAATACAAATACAAATTGACTTTAGTAAAAGCTGATCAATATACATACGACACACAACATTTAAACAATAAGCTGCGTAAAAATTAATATTATATATTATTAAAACAAACTACTTACGGTTATTTAAATTTTTATACAAAATAATAATGCATTTAAAAACAGAATTATTATTTATTTGTTCATAAAAATTAGTAATATTAGTTGGTTGTTAGAAATAATTATTTAAATGTATTTATTTTCACATGTTGTACTATTATGGCATTTTAAATGTATTTTTATTTTGTATAAAAATGTAAATAATTGTCATTAGTTTGTTTTAATAACATATAATTATAACTTTTACGCAGGTTATCGCTTAAATCTTTCGTGATGTATTGATGATCAGCTTTTAGTAAGTCAATTAGTATATCCTAGGATGTACACAACGTGTTTAGTAAACACCCGAATAAAATTAAGAATTTCAGCATTTACTGAGTACAAACAGTAAAACCTAGCATTAACTAGTAAAACCTAGGTTTACCAAGTGACCGGGCATTTATGGTAACATATATATACCTATATGACTAAGAGAAAACTTCGATTATTATTATGTTTAATTTAGAATTTTATGATGAATTTCAGGCTTATAATTTTTTTTTTTGTACAAGTTTATCTAATGCAAAGAAGTATTATGTTCCAATAATATTATAATATCATAATTTTAATCTAAATGTTCTTGTAATTGTTTTATGTTTAAATTTTTTCGTTTGTCTGTTACTCAATAATTTATATACGATAGTATAGTTCTCAGTTCTTACTTGTCAAGTACTGAAGTACCCGGTTATTATTAACGTGTATGAAATGCAATTTATTTAAAATATTAAAATATAAGTAACTAAAAAAAAAATTTAACTTTTTAACTTTCTATTAGGTAGGGTTCGATTACAATATCTAAATAATATCATGTTGTATTGTTGTGTTAATATACTTGATAACAACAATAACTTGTATTTATTGTTAGAATATATATATCCACAAGCTTATAAATATACCTAATATAAGAGGATGATATCCTAGGGTATATTTTTGATTAAATGTACAGTATATATATATTTTAATGTATGACTCGGATGCAATTGATTGTGTTGAGAGAGCAGTGTTGGGTCAAGTCACTCCCAAGGGAAATCGACAGATATCGGTGGACATTATTTTCCCCTTAAAAACAAACAGTCTTATTAATTTAAATCCGTCTTCTTCTAATAACTTCTGGGGTATTATATGTTATATATTTAATTGGTAACTGATGTAATGATTATATTAACCTAAAGTTATTTTCCCATCACACACTCGTTGTCGTGAAATTAAAAAAATGTTTATATCGTATCGTTAGTTCATTATTTATTATTATTTTTTAATGTGTCTTTGACAGTATTTTTTTCTCGATCGCTCTTGACACAATATGTTCTAAGCGGGAAATTTATTGCTCTTCTGACCAGGTTGTTAGTGAGAAAAATGATACGATCGGTGTAAAAAAAAGATAGCTTTTATAATCTAACAATTCATAATACCGAAAATGGTTGTGTCAGAATATTATATGAATGATCACAGTTATGAAAAAAAATGCATACCTACCTATTGTCGTCTACACAATAAAATGGTATTTCGAGCAACAGGCATGGCTCATAAATATTGAGTATATTGACGACTGTCCCCTATCGTATTTAGATCGTCTATTGCATCAGCAGCGTAAAATACTCCAGTATCAGCCAACCATATTTAGAAGTGGTAAAAAATTAATTCGAAAAATGCATAACCATAAATTTATGATTTACGGTTTTTATGAAAATTAAAAAACTTCATTCGACATCAAATAATTTATTCTGGGTTATTCGAATATCAATATATTATATATAATTATTTGATAAAGTAATTGATTAAAATGAGTTCAATGTGCTAGATTAGTACTTATTGTGTTATAATAGTGATATTATTCAATTATTATCGTATCATGTTGAGATTCAAATTTCAGATTTAATTCAAATATACAAATTAATGAAAATACTATCAACAAAAATAGTAAAATAAATCTTCTCTAGAAAACTCATTGATATCCTTATATAAATAAATATATTACAATGTAATAGTCTACAATTATTACTATAATTTAATACCTATATCAATTGTATAGAGACAATGGAATACTATGCGAATTGGCAATTCGAAAATTTGCGAAGGTCAAATCACGCTTTCTCGCACTCAGACGTTATACCAAAGGTTTCTATACAGTATATATACATGATACACATTGCATTTGGCAACGACTTCTCGCCATCTCATCGTTCTATAATGTGCAACAATGACAACGAAACAATAATATGTATAAGCTTAATGATACAACATATACGATCGAAAAACCGGTAAATTTGAATTGTTGACAAATCCGGAGAAGAGTAATAATAGTTGGCCGGCGCACAGTGTGTGCGATATGATGTACGACGCATGTGACTCGAATATAACGCTCGGGGGTTCGTCCGTCTATTCCGTACATGGACTCGTCCGGTTACTTGATCAATATTATTGACGAAGACGACTACGTGTGCATGGTTTGATAATTAAAAACGAACTCTCGACGGCTTACGCATTTTAATCGTCAGATTTATAATAATATGTTTCAGCAACAAGTTCCATTAAATTTATTATTCCCATTAATCGATATTATGTGTGAATATAATATACTTCTTATAAGACTTATCGACTATCTATGGTTTTTAATTTTAATTTGTTTTTTATTTATTATTATTATTATTTATTTTTTTTTTTTGTTTTAGAATACTCGAGTTGAGAAAAGAAAAAAGTCGAGACGCAGCTAGGTCGAGACGGGGCAAAGAGAACTACGAGTTTTACGAACTGGCCAAAATGCTTCCATTGCCTGCAGCAATTACGTCGCAGTTGGATAAAGCGTCCATCATACGGCTGACAATATCGTACCTAAAACTGAGAGATTTCTCAGGCCATGGTGACCCACCATGGACTAGGGACGGTCCGCAGTCTGCATCCAAAACCCTAAAAGGTAAAGCAGTACACATTTTACTTAGCTAAATAGTAAATGACGTTTTAGTGAGAAATAATTATTATGTCATTAATAATAGCAGTGCAGTTACAATTAGTTGGATATTTTATTGCTTATTATATAATTTCAATCAGTCTGAAAAAAAGTCCTTGCAGATAGTTTGATGGATAATAGATGATTTTTAATGAATTTAAAACATTCTATGTACCAGGCTATAAAAAGTAACGTTTCTTTTTAATATAGTTTATTTTTCGTGGGGTTGATGTCTGCACTTGTCGTGGACGTTGCTTTTGACAATCACTAATTTGACGAATTCAGTTGAATTGCGCCGACGACCGCGCGTATTGTAAAATGCGTTTTTTCTTCCGGGTGCGCGAGTACAGTTTTTTCGGGGGTTGGAATAAAGAAGACAAAAATAACTTTTACACTTGACCGCCATTCAATTAAAGGGCAGATCTGTTTGAAATTTAAGAAAAGGGACTAAACGTATAATTTTTAGCATTTTTCGTTATTTGGTAAAAATATGATAATGTGTTCTTTACACAGTTTCAAATTATACGATGCAATTTATAAATGCCCATATTATTTCTTCGTATAAGTTGTATGTGAGTATAGATATTGAAAAAAAATATAACATTAATTTCTCAAGACATTATTTTATATATTAGGTTTATCATTACCGAACGAATACTATTTTGTATTTTTAAGTAAATAAATTCAAACCATGAACAAAAACATGCAAATTTTATCTTATTTACATTTTGTTGCGCTACTTATAATAATAGGTATATTTATAAATAAACCTAATAAATAATTTTCTAACCAAATTATTACTTCTACAGAAGAGTTTACATATTGACCAATGATTTAAGTAAATACATAATATTATAGGTATGCTTTGAAATTAGAATTTGAGATGATAGGTATATAGAAAATTAAATTTTAAATTTCCATAAAACATGAATAAACAAGACGTGTGTACTAATAATCTTCTTTTAAAATATATTGATAACAAATATTTTATATTAACTTTTTTAAATGTACTTTATTGTTCATAATTATTAATCATCTATAACGCATGCCAAGTAACCGCTATGTTCGTAGACTTTTGGTACCTAGGGAACTAACAAGGTTTATTCAAGTCTTTTGAAATTCTTCTTATTTTTAAAATGTTTAAGACACAATTCAACTTTTGAGTAGTTGAGTACACTTTTTTGACACGTTTTTCGTTTAATGATCCTGCAGTCTACCATGACAAACTTAGTTTAGGTATATACCTACCTCTTTAATTTTTGTATGGGGCGATGAGATGACCACACTATGACCACCGCGCGTACAAATGTCAATCAAAACATTACCAGTCTGCCGCCTGGTGTAATTTGATTTCGCGTTTAAATGCACTCGTCGAACGGTCAAGTAAATTCGTTTATTCTACCCAACGTTTATCGAATTACCAATTGTCGAGTGTCCGTCGGGACTATATAGCCCGCGGGTGACAGCAGTCTTTTCGTCAGTGTAGATTGTGCATGTTAGGTACACGAGTGTGATGTGGTTTTGCGCACAACATGTGTTACCTATACGTTTAGTGTGGCCAGTGTGGGTGAACAATTTCTGAACTTTAAAAATACCTAATTTTTAATTCAATGATTATTTTCCCATCTTTTAAAGCTTTATCCAAGTATATATTTACTATGAGAAGGATACAATAATTACTTATTAGAAAAACATAATTTTAGTAATTTGCAAAATTCTGCAGTTCAATTCTATATTATTATGTAATTATTACAAGCGAAAATGTGAAGTGCGTTATTGTAGGATGAACAGATTTATAACATCAATAATAATCAATAATCATAATTTAGTGAATATTGATAACATATAATATAATATTTTAATATTTTCCGGTTCGTTTGATCAGCCGCAGGCACTGCACGAACGATTGACTCCGCGTACATATTGTACAGTTTCCTGACTTCCAATGATAATAATAGTAATATAACAGTAATAGTAACAATAATAATAATAATAATAATAACATTGGTATGTACGTATGTTGTGGGTGCGCGCGCACACAATACGGATCTAACTAGCTAAACGTTGCACCGCCAATATTACGTGTATAAAAGAGGGTGACGGCGGCCGATTTAGTTAAAGGCGGCGGCGGTGATGTTATTAGATTAACAAGGAGGCACCCACAGCCGACATCCCCGTGACGGCGTGCGCAACTTATACACAAGCACACGCACACCACCCACACGCACACCCACACAAAACCCATACACACGAGCACGATGAAATTTGCGTATATTATAAACGAACACTTTGTCACGAGCCAATTTGCATACGTAAGAGGCGCGAGCGCGTAATAGGTTTTGTGACGGAAGAGGGCGATGGGCGTGGTCAATACTCGAAAATCATTGAGCGCACCTCAACAATATAATATTATTAATAATAATAATTTATATTCACTGTTTAATTATTATTGCATTGCAATTGCTCGTTACGATGCTCATCTATCCGCCCGCTCGCGTGCCCGACGGCGACATTGCATTTAAAAGCGCCCGTGTATTATAATAATAGGTACTGTAACGATTGACCCGCAGCGATACACAGACGCGCTGATTTTTCTACCCCTACAAAATTGAAAATATTACATTATGAGTATTTTTTTCACAAATAATATTATATTATTATTATTTTAGTTGACATCATATTTCTATATATTGTTATATAATTTAATGACTGCCGAAGAAGCCCGAACATGTTCCGCCTCATGGAACTGACCCGTTTAAGTCACATGACCTGTGTTCGATTAGACCTCGTCAAATGAGTATCCAAAAATATATATGAATCTATATAATAACTATCAATTATTTATATGTCTTTCTCTGCTTCACGCACAAAAATGTGACATTTTCTAATACCTATTACGTTTCATTTATCATATATGGTTACATTGTCTAATCCATAATATAGTCAAGTGCATGTTTTGAATTTTTGATTCGTAGATATTTGTATTAAATTTTATGTGTATAATCTTCTCATATTATTTTAAATTTTAAACATATTTTTTTATTAAAGTAGATCATAAAAAAACACATTATTATAGCGTTAAGGTTACGCAATTATTTCTTATGTTCCCTCTAAACGATAATATCCAATACAAGCTAGGTATTGCAATTTTATTATGTGGAATCAAATGTTTAGTGTTTTAAGTATGGTAGTTATAAAATTAATTGTGACACGACGCATCTATTCTGCATATCCAATAAGGAAAAATTATATTTTCTATCCTCGTAGACAGCAGATTCCGATTTTTAGTTATAATGGTGCATTAAAACGACTAAAACAATTAAAATCTTTAAAATTTTAAAAATAATACAACATTTTTAGCGAATTACAAACATAGAATAATTTAGCTTATATCGTAATTAAATAATACTGTACCTACCGCTATGTATGTCGGTACAAATACAAATTGTAGTTATACTTTATTGAATTGTCCATGTTAATCAACTCATTTTAAATACTGATTATTTTTTACTTCCTAGGTACTTGGTTTTGTTTTATTATTTGTTATTTTCATATTTTACTTAGGTTATATCCAAGAGTATCATGAAATATTCTCTGCTTTAATATTTAATATACCAGTTTGATAGTGACAAAACCCAGCGTCTATAATATATTATATATAAAGTAATTGTTATATAAAGATAATATTGTATATATAAAGTAATTCGGAGCTTTCTTGTTCGGTGACACAATAGGAGAGTGGCATGTAAAAAAAATAAAAAAACAGAGGGACAAGGACGAAGAATCTAAAAGAACAAGAGACAGTTAGTAATTTGTGACTCGTGTCTTGGAAAAAAAATGACAATTCTTTCCACGGCTATCAGCACGAGACTTGAGAGCACATGCCCATTGTCCAACTCCTAGGCTGCCAAACTCATCTCTCTCCATGGTCAATCATCCGATCAATATTTATATCGTACCACCGTTACGGCAATTATTTTGATTACACCTCTTGCCAGCAAAAATGCTACTCAGTGTACATGCTATCGACATCAACATCATCATCACTCTTGTATAGCGTATATCTATGCTGCTTACATCAACTAAAATACGGCTATTACTCCGTTACATCTTGTCTGGAATAAAACACGATAATTTCATTTAATTTCAATTTAAAAAATAAAAATAGGTAACTCTAATTCTAAATCGATGTACCTAATATTAAACTTATTTAAACATCACGCACATTATAATATTTAATTTAATAAGTTTTTCAAAAAAATTCCCCGTTCAGATATATAATTTATAATTTCAAAAGGTACTTATATATCAATACTAAAAAATTGATCTATTTGGTATATATTTTTTCTATCTATTTGGTTTATATGGCAGTCATAGCAGTCATATATTATACTATTGAATCGTGTAACTATAAAGTAATATACTAATATTAATGTATGTAAAAATATTTATTTAGTGGTTACACTAACACTGTACTTTTTGGATCATGATGAAATCGTCACCACCGTGTGGTTTTAAACTAATAATAATTCCATGTTGACAATATCTCAATAACCACCAAATTTGATTATAATTCGTGGGTATAATAATTGTAATAATATTTTCGTCAAACAAATCCAGCCGACATCACTTTAAAGCGAATTAAGAGTGCCTGGGGGCTTGTTATCATCACAAAGAGAAACTTAGGGTGAGAAGAGTTTAAAACACTACCCGACTGATTGCTGGGACCCATGAATAAACCTCGAGCTAACTGAGTTAAATGCAAGGGGAGGGCTTTAAACATTCCCCCCGTTCTCTTTTTATTTTTGTGGTTTCAATCAGCCACCCGCAAAATAGGGGGACGGGATTTGTTAAACACACACGCGCGCCACCGACTTAAGTTAATTTGGATAACAAAGGTGCACTTCTCCACCCTATGTGTATATATTTATTTATGTTTACAGCTAAGTAATACAAAATTCAAAAAAACTGATTTAACAACAAGATAGAAAGACAAGTTTTCGCATCAGTTTGACAATAACGGTCAATTTTTTATATTCGCTAACCCTTTGAAATATATAATTGGAAAATTGGTATTAAAAATGGATTAAATCAAAATAGTATATTTTTTAGTTGAAGTTGTATGTATTTTAGTACAAATAAAATATTTTACATAATTGATATTTTTTATTTGGTTCTTATTCATATTTATAATCTGGGATTATAGCTCATTTATTTATTTTGTTATAGAACTATAACAAAATTACCATCACAAATTTTTTAGGTAATGTTTAATTATACGTTTTGCAACATTCACTATTATTTTAACAAATTCAAACTATTTAATTGGGCATCCACCTCGTCGTCCTTATACAATTATACCTATTATAAACCTATTATAACCTACTTATACTTATGCCTCACGATCAATATTAACTTCATTCATTCATATTCATAATATTATTTACTGCCGTCACTATAGTTAAGTCTKATTACTGATTGGATTCAAATCATTATAAAAATAATAGATCAAAAAAAAATCTGGCAATAAAAAGTTCTATATTTTTGTTTGCTTAAAATAATATCTTAATGTACAATTTACAAAAACTAATTTTAAATTGTATTTGACACTCATATAATATAGCATATATTCCAAAAGTTGGGAATTTTCCCCTTGGTAAAAAGAACAATAAATAATTGTTGACACCACCAGGAACACATGTGGTAGTTATCCCAAGGGACGATTCTCCTGCTGCAATACTTTAAGGTCCCTGGTAGTGGTGGTATAGGCAATATTAGTACTTGGAATATGATAAGCACCTACACGGTGTCATAAGCATTTTTGAAAACAACAATGTGTTATTTGTAGCTAAACAAATGAAGATAAGTTCATATTACACGTTTAAGACAGTCACATTTTTATAAATAAATGCCCATAATAATTGTACGGACTTATTGCGATTGGCTCGATTATTATACCGATTAATAAATAAGGGAGATATGTTATTAATACTAACACATAGTATTACGCCAGACTGTTTGTGCAAAGTAAACGACCAAGTTACCAAATGAAAGTCGCGAGGGTGCTTAGGGGACGAAAATGTTTACTCAGTTGAGGATTAGGATAGACTTTTTTGATTAAACTGGATGTATTTATGTAGGGGCTATGGACACAGTTCTTATTTGAGGGAAACGATATGATTTTGTGCATTTAATGAAAAAATACACAAACTGGATACGATATAATAATATATACTTTATATGATATATATATAATGTATATATGTGAGCAATGAAAATTAACTAGAAAATATAGAATGTTTATAAATGTTTCAGGGACCTCAGCTCGAAATAGATCTCCTAGTACCATAGCCTTGGAATTGTTTGAACAACACCAAGGAACACATATACTTCAAGTAAAAAATTAAATCATACGACTTAAAATCACGTCGATACTAATTATGTCTTATTATTTTTCAGTCGTTGGACGGTTTCGCGTTTGCATTAGCTGCCGACGGACGATTTCTTTACATATCAGAAACCGTGTCCATCTACCTAGGTCTTTCTCAAGTGAGTATTTTGAAACGCCGTACAATATTAAATAATATTTATTACTAAATATGCATAAAACTAAGTGTGTATATACGCTGTATAACAGCATAAATGTCAGACTATACAATTTTGAAGTCTTCACTTCCCGTGTACAAACTCTCCTTTGAGTAAGGCACATTAATAATACTAGTCAGACAATATTAATTGCGCTCAACACTGTTGTACTTGAAAAAATTGGGAAACACTTTGCTCCTTTGTTAACCACCGCGTATCTTAGTCCATTTTTAACTAAATAACGATGTGTGATTTCATAATTATTTACATTTTAAATACTCTGTCACGATGCAGGGTAACTTGATACGCGTTCATATGAAACAATAATACCGAAATATAAAATATATCAAACACAACCGCCTTTACTTAGTACTTCGACTTTGGTAATGATTCGAATTTGAACACCTTAATATCTGAAAATTCGATAATTTATTTTAATGATAKTATTATTAATATTACTTTTTTATATACTATTTAATTTTTTTTGTGGAGATTTTAATTTAAAATCTGAACGAATTTAGATGTACAAACAAAAAATGACGGTTTTAGTTATTTTTTTATAATTTATTTATTTATTAAATATTATTTGTACTTCGAACTTTTAATACATATATATTATGATATTTTATACACACATTGAATTTTTTAATGCAATTTTATCGGAAGAAAATTAATTTAAACTACCGTATTATAATTTTAAAATAAATTAATATAGCAATAATTAAACAGCAATATTATAGGTTATATGTTATAAAATATATTTAGAACACTGACGAACCATCACCGTCCAGACTAGGTTTTTCTATGCAATGATTTATCATTGAATTCAAATTTAACACACCCATTACAGTCCTATACTCAATAATGAGATTTCGGTTATCTACTTTCCAATCTTTTTTATTTGTAATTCCTGAAGAAATTATACCTCTGAAAAGATTTATACAATAGTAGATATACATATATAATTAATTTATATTATATTGGAACAATGTATTTTAATACCTAGTCTGTATAGTCATAATACTGCTTCTTCTTTTTTATCCACTAATTTCTTATATATTTCTCTATAATCAAATCGAAATTATAAACTGTTAAAATGTATAAACCATCAGATATAAAAAAAATTCACTCATAATATCAAGCTGATTTATAATAAGTTTTAATTTAAAATAGTCTCATAATTTAATGTTTAATTTGGATTCTCCATAAGAATATATTTTATATCAACTTGATTATATTGGTAATTATATAATGGTAATAATGGTACATCTATATTTTTATAGTCTTGTTCACATTAAAAAAATAAAAACCAAATTTTTCGTTATTATATTTACTTTTGTCAACTAATAAACATTTTAGTTTTTACTATATGTGTGTATTCTCGTCATAATAAAATATTACTATATTTTGTTCAAAATTTGTAATTTCCATAAAAATGTTACTTTTTTAAATAAAATAAAGTATATTAGTGTATACATCCATAGTACCAGTGTTGTTTCGTTTGTTGGATGAAATATTATGTAGAAACAATCGTCAGTTCTAGAAACCTACCCTGCACACCAAGTCCTGTGTACAGGCCACGTCAAAAGCGCAAAAACCCTGGGTCTCCCCCGTGTCGGCCTTTGCAGCATAGCTATTGATTGTGTCAGGCGGGCGAGAGAGAGTACGGTTCGGAATTACGAATGAGGAACACGCTCGCACGGCTCAAGTGTACGTGAGTCGAATTCGAGTCGAGCCGGAACCCACCCGCGCAACCTTTAAAACGCGTCAATCCTCCCTTACCTTTCCCTGTGATAGGGAGTGATGAGGGGGGAGTGTTTGTAGACCATGCGCATAGCTCTATGTATTATAGTCTAAATTAACGTTACGGACGGTAACAATGATGGACGATTCGGGAAGATTTTTCACCAAGTCCGAATAGTTTAATTCCCCTCGTAACGTACAACCAATATCTCAAGAGGCTTCCAAATGTCAAACCATTATGTTAGTTCCTTTACTTATCCGTGTTATTTTTTGCAGGTAGAGATGACCGGTAGTAGTGTGTTCGACTACATTCATCAAGCCGACCATTCTGAGCTGGCTGAACAATTAGGCCTAGGACTGACTCAAGGCCAGGGTATGGCATCGCCGTCACCCAGTAGTGCTGGTTCCGAAGAAGGAAGTTCCAATGTGGGCACGGCAAATCCTGACGGTGAGTTTTCATCCCTTTAGACAACGGTGGCTACACTCTACGACGTTTCACGTGATTAGCCACACATTCACCCTGAGTGTTTTTTATTGMCCCGTCACGCCGTATAGAACACTGAAATGCAATCCAATTTATAACCAAAAAAATAAAAATAAAAAAACATCTAGTCCGAGGGAAAAATTAGTTTGGTCCTTTTACCAGAGTTACAACGCTCGATCCGATAGTGCGTGACGGAGTATTTTTAAGAATTGACGCGAGGGGCTATGATTTTAAACCTAATAAGAGTGCATTATATTTCTCAAACACTAAATTTAAAAAAAGATAAATTGAATTTATTTTAATTCTTCCGAAATTATTCTTGAACTTTTGTACCTAATATATATGAATGCCGAATATATAAAAATATAATCGTTTTTCACACATTGACCACCGATCATGATGTGCTTATAATTTGGAACATTATAATATTGTATAGACTTTCTGGAATATATAAGGAAGCACGGATCATTAGTCCGGCCACAAACGATCGTGACTTCGAACACATAATTATATAAGGCTGTATCCCATTGCTGTGTAACAAATAATATTATGCTGACATGGTGTGAATACGATTGCCAAAACATTTTATTTTTATTTTTTAATAAATAGGTAATATTAAAATTATTTTACATTATTTGTAACAATTAAATAATTAAAACTTTGCATTAAATTTAGGTAAGTATACAAACATTTTTATATTTAAAAGAATAAAACATCTATAGTCAATAAAACTAGATCAATAAAATTAATATATTATAACGAAACAAATGTAATCTTATCCTATAAAAATCAAATACAAAATTTAAAGCATTACTATAATTATTATTACTTTATAAAATTTTCAGTTTCGTCAGTGATGTCTCTATCCAGCACAAATGCATATAAAGGCTTAGACAGAGCGTTTTGCATTAGAATGAAGTCTACACTGACTAAACGTGGTTGCCATTTCAAATCCTCCGGATATAGGGTGAGCGTACATATATTTATACTTTTCTAATACAGATATTATTACCACCGTATAGGGTGTAGAATTATACATTTCATCCCACTTTCCCAGTAATATATGAATTCTCTTATTTGGAGGGGAGAAGTGTAATTTTGAGACCAAAATTGTAGTAAAGGGTTGATGGTTGGGTGATTATTAAGCTTGAAACAACAGAAATGAGTGCGTCATACTGCCTATAATGTATAGTTTGAAAATATTTCGATATAACTGATAAGTCGTCGGAAATTACCAATTTCATCATATTACGAAATGTCATTGATATACAATTGTATATTTTTGTATAGAACAACTTTCGTTATTTATATTTGTACAAAATATTAGAACTTAGTACCTACCTAATACATATTTAAATAATGTTTTAAAATACAATTTTATTTCTGTGCACAACATCAATATACTAGAACAATCATATTGGAATTGTGTTACATACGAATGATTGTGTTGACCTGATGAAAAAAAGGGGATATGAAATAAAGACAAGGAAAATAAAAGGGTTAGAGGAAAGTTCTACCCTAAATATAAACGATGATTCATTGAAACCACTAAAAATTAGTACTTTTGTTTGAGATACTTGTATACCATTGTAATTGGGTACCTCTTCGAGCACCCAACCATGGTTTCGGTTCAAATTTAACAACAAGCGAAAATATAATCCCAAAAATAAAATGAAATAATCGATTACCTTAAAATGTTTTCTTTTTTACTTTTTGTTATTTGTGTGTATGAGGGTTATTCAAGTATAGAAAATTACCATCAGTGTTGTGTTTACGTAACACATAATAATATATACAATATGAACTCGTATAAACACATGGTTAATGATGCATTTACAAATTCCATACTTTGCCAACTTGTCACCACAAAATTGACCATTGCTTAAATGTATAGGTATAAGTATAACATGTGCATACATATGTTTACATATTATGTGGTGACAATGGCAAAGAGAAAGCTATTCAGACGATGATAAAATAACACTAACAACTCTGATATTGTAATAAAAATAATTGTAATAATGCACAATTTGTGTCCCACAATGGTTACATACTTATATAACAGTATATTCCAAACGAATAAAAAAAAACTAAATATTTAACAAATTAAAGAAAATAACCATTAAAGGTACCTATTACTTATTCAAGTTACTTCGTTACATCACCAAATTATTCGCTCTTATAGGGGGTAATTTTTTCATCTTGATTTACTTCAGATAGACTAATAAAAACAAGATAGCAGTTAAATAACCATGGATAATTATATACTTAGATCCTTAGACGGCGAACAAGAGAAAAATCCCAAATGTTTTTTTATATACATCTATAATATTATATACCGTAACTCGCACCTATATGTGTTTGTGTGTGTTTGAATAATTTGGGTTTTATGGACGACCAATTCTGATAATTTTGTTAACATCTATTCAGAATGAATCTAATTAATTAAGTCGCCATAGAGCCGTGAACGTTTTGTATTAAGAACAACTCCCTTAACAAGTTTGCACTAAAAGAACAATAGGAAATAATTTAATAACAATAATTGTGCGTGTCATGCGTTTGATCATTTTGTTCCGATTTCATTGTAGCCCGATCGAATGAAAGACAAAAAGCAGATGACACTTTAGTATTCAACGATAATATACAAAATTCGATTCACATAGACACGAAAAAAACAATCGCTATACTCGGAAGCGTAAAAAAAAAACGAAAAAAAACGAAAACAATAATAATAAAAATGTACCACATAACGTAGCTACCTAGAATATAGTAAAACGAAAATTGAATGACCGAAGTAGGCGGCCGACTTAAGACCGTTGTCAGGATGTACAAATCATATCCAGTGATCGTGATGAGTATACAAGAGAAGAACGCCTCTGATTCCAAGTGGTTGTTTTTTCCTCTTTTTTATGTAATTTACGTGTCAGAACTGTTAATGTCACGTTAACCACTGTTTTTTTTTCACACGCCACTAACAGTCGTACATTATATTTATATGTGATGTATATCATACGATATTATTAAAGAGATAAAAACTCGTCAACAACCTTTACCTCATAGTACATAATAAATAATAATATATATACATTATATAGGCACACACACCAGTCACACAAACCATTAAATTTAAATCACTCAGGAATTATGATTTTTTTTTATCGTTAACTCACGATCTTACTCTGGTATTTTAGGTGGTGCTGTTGATTTGCAGACTGAGGCCACAGTACACGTTTTCGCACAATCGAAAATGTGCGCCACCGCTTTTGGGCGCAGTGTCCCTGGCTATTGCTCTACCCCCACCAAGCGTGCATGAAATCCGACTGGAAACTGACATGTTCGTCACAAGACTATACTTCGACTTTCGAATAGCTCATTGCGAACCAAGGTAATTATATCGATTAAGATGCTCAGATGTCTATTGTAGCTATAGATTCTTTAGAAACATTTTGGTTTAACTACGCAAAAAAAATTTGTGTCAAACTCAAATAAAAATATAAAAAATTTTAATTTTAAGAGCATAAAACTTTCGAAAATTTTACCGATTTATAGCTATATTATAAGACAAAAAATACGTCTATATTACCAACAACTCTATTTAATAATTTTTGTTTTATGACACAAATTTTACCTACGTATCTGTATATTCTCACATCATATACCTACCTAGGTATTAAGAAGTATACAATTTTAAAACATAAAAAAACCGTGAGACCCATTTTTGTTGATACACTCATATTATATGGATACGCAAATGATGTATAACGATGATTTATTATTATTATCATAGGGTAGCGGAAATACTAGATTATACGGCCGACGAACTGACTGGTATGAACATGTATACCCTGTGTCACGGCGAAGACGTGGGGAAACTCCGAAAATGTCACCTAGACTGTAAGTATATACTGCAACATTCAAGCACTATAATGTTACGGACATCATAATATTATTATATTATTATAATACAATACGGTCGTTACTATAGTTTTGAATAATACGATGGTGCGCATTGTAATAGTATACGCTGCAGATACAGATAAAAATGTAAAATGATATAATACGGGTCTGGCGATGGTTAGAGTTGTAGGTATCGTATAATATGTGGTASTAGGTAGGTATACTTCAACTAGATATACCTCCTACCTATAATATACCTATGATATACATTATAATATCTCGCGTTAACGGGCATATAAATGGTGGCCATTTATATTTATACGCGATCGTAATTGAATAACGACCGGAAGAGCGTCATCAGTATTCAGAACAGTAATACGCACCGAGTATAATATTATAATAATATGTACCTACCTATTTTGTCTTCGCCGAATACATCGTACACGAGACGATGACTCTTGTTGGTGGACGATAACATCTAACGTGTGGCCACCGGGATAATGGCTATATGGTCCGGTAATAGTGGGAGGGCGGAGCTTCCGGTGCGATACCTGCCCGGCATATTTCAACAGGCGCAAGTGCCTCTGTAACTGTGCGTGTGTATTGTCATCATCATCATCATCATCATCATAATCATTGTCATCGTCATCAGTATCTATAGGTATAAGAAAGTATGAGAGTATGGGTATAAATGGCATAATACTGTAATATAATATATTGTCACTCAATGACAAATCTGTGAAGGATCAAGGATAAACCAACAACTATTGTGTATGTTTTATCGTATATATATTATATGCTGTTTGTGTAAGCCTATAATATGTACCTATAGGTACATTTTGCTCATCTTAGTGCAAGGAGTGCCTGAAATTAAATAATACAGGCAGTGGTGGATTATTTATACGTGGGTGGATCCAAAACGTCAAAATAATGTGTTGTGCAATATTTTTTTAAACTATTTTATTTTATTAAATAGGTACATATAGGTTATAGGTATACTCTTAAATTTAAATTAATATAATAAAAATACATGAATTAAAAACTAGTTATCACTTTTTTTAAATATACAAATGATACCTACTTTTGAAATTCAAATTATTTGCTTGTCTCTACTCCATAAGAAAAATTTTGAAAATTCCCCACTGGATATATAGTTAGGAAGATATCATACGTATCACAGGAAACGAAAAAGAAATTGAATGGATTATAAAATTATCCACCGACTATACCAGTTTGTAGTCACTACTCGGTATACACATTATACTCACTACCTTTATTACTATACATATATAGGTAGTCTATAATATCGGTAGTCGGTACCATACTACCATAGGTGACAGGTACCTACTGTATATTATAGTTAGGTCGTAGTCATGCAGTTGACGGAAAAACAATGTCCATTTCATCATAAGGTCAGGATGAATGAGTTGAATGCTTAAATATTATTATAGCGCCGCCATAGATCCGTCTTCTCAAAATTAATGCATAAATATTCCACTCGAGTCGCGTGCAAGTGGCTTTCGGACAATAATAAAAATTGGATAGGTTTATTGTTATAATATATGAATTATTCGTCGTGTGTTAGTAGACATCATTATTTTATATAAAATCATTCCCATTTGTAAATTTTGTACTGTTAGTTCCTAATTTCTTACCTACTTTTATATTGCTTTATAACAATAGGTAATAGCTATAGATATATTATATAAGTTCCGATGCATAATATATAAATAGTTGCGTATCAGCGTATCTACATTATACTATATAGTATATAATAACTATATACGGTTATATCTATATTTATAGGGTTTTATCATTTTTAATGTAACTTTTTTTTATATAATGAAATTACAATAATTATTAGGTACCTACATACATTACATACATTTGTATAATTATATAGTTTTGTTAGCTGTTAGGTAATATAATATTTTTTTATCAAGACACCAAAAATTATAAGACTTGCAATAAATTATAATATAAATATATCAATGGTGATCGAATAATCAAGAATATCATGGAAAACCTAACTTATTATTCCAAAATAATGTATACATATTATATTATATTATAATCATAACTTATTCTTGGTAATAAATCACTGAAATTACCTAGTTTATTTTTTAATAACAGTTATTTTATAAAAGTGTTTATTATTTTATATAATAAAAGCAGCTGCCTCGCGTTTATTTACACATTTTAAAACTAACTGACGATATAAATCATCTTACAATAATATAATGCCATCAAATCTTAAAATTAACATGATATAACCTATATAATATATATATAAATATTTTATTTATCATTCATCAAATTAACATTAAATTTTTTATTTTAGTGATTAACAAAGGACAAATGATGACGCATTACTATAGGGTGATGAATAAAAATGGTGGTTACACTTGGATGCAGACGTGCGGTACGGTTGTCTGTAACTCGAAAAACGCCGAAGAACAGAACATTATTTGCGTCAACTACGTAGTCAGGTAAGTTGTACTTTTTTTTAAATTTTAACCCCGTGCCAATTAGGTGTGTCCCCTCGTTTTGTATTCAGAACATTCACCAACTGTAATAAAAAAAAAAAAAAAAAATGTGCGTAACATTATCCGAACCTCTGCGGAATATTGATCGTGGTGTATAATATTATGTATAATGTATATATATGATGATTTTAGTGCCAGAGAATTCGACAATTTGATAATGGATTGTTGCCAAATGGAAGAGCATATTAGACAAAGGGTGGTGAAAAGAGAAGAAACAGGAGGAAACGACCCTGAGAACGGTTCACCCGATGGCGGTGGCGGTGGTAAGTGTGGCTATCACATATTGTATGAATTATATGAGTTATAACTGGATATTGGTCATTTTTAGATGGTCGAGGAGGAAATCCTAGAAGAGATCACTTAACACCCGCCGACCTGGACGACGGTCATTCGGCCGACGGACAGGGTGATCCGACCAGAGGCAGAAATCATGTGGACATAACACAATTGAACAACGCACCGTCCGAACGACTACAAGTGAGTTAAATTTAATAAAATTTTAATTACTTATTAGTTATTGCAAATGATAATGAAATTAACATATTTATATTGCATTTGACATTTGTACCTATGTGATTTTACTTGAGCCATCATTGAAATCAAAACCTTATAGATATAGGTACCTATGCATTTTAAAATTATAAAGTTCTTTGGATAGCAAAAAAAAAAATAATCCTGGTAAGCCATATATCTATAAAACTAATTGACTACCTATATTATTTTTTCAATACTTACCATGGTAGTAGTCATTTTTCATTTAGTATCGGTATAGCTAAGTATACTATATGTACCTAAAGCATATTGACACATTAAGAAATAAGAATAATATATAATAGGTGGGTACTGGGTACCCATTGATCATAAAACACAAATACTAGAAGAGTAGAGATAATAAAACCGAAAACTGAAGTTTAATTAGGCGTCTCGTTCAATTACTTGATGGTTTTGGCGTTCCTTAAATTACTTATACAAATATTATACGTTCCTGCAAAATTAAATATTCATAGTTTTAATTGTCCATGCTAACCTAACCTGCAGTATACCTTTATTATGTCTTACGTAATGGTGGTATACTTAATTATCTTTTTTATTAGTGAGTCTAAAGACTAACCCATGAATAAATTATAGATATAATTAATAATACTACCTATATGAACTTATAGGTAGTATTATATTATTATATATAATATAATATAATATAATATATAATATATTATTATATATTGCTCTATAGACGCCCCTATCAGAGCCGAACTAAAGGGGTGCAATAGTTTTTTTTTATCGTGCTTACATTTCATTACAGTAGTCAACTATATATATAAATATATAGTTTATTATGTAATTATATTATAAGATAAAAATATTACGTTAATATTATATTTCATCACATTTTAGAGACGAGAAAATCTAAAAATATATACCCCAAGAGCGGGACGCAGCATTTTTTCTGAATCTGTATTTGGTACCTGTTAATAATATACAATATACCTACATAGTGGAGAATTTGAGAAGTTTGAGGCGATTAACTCTCGTTAAGGCTTTTTTTACTTGAACTATTATAGCGCCGTAGTATGATAAAATTAATATGGAATTCATAAGTAATAACCATAACTTCAAACTTATAAAGTATAATTAAACAAAAAAAATGTATTTTTTTTTTAATATGCAAATCGGAAATGGTGTGTATTTGGTTACATCTTTATTAGTACCTGTCAATCTACGATACCAATTCACCCCCTCTTCAAATTATCCGCTACTGTAAACTACATACTATACATTATATTTATATCAAGTCCTCTAGACTATTTTGACATTTATTTATGATTTGTGTTCATTTCAGTTGAACAACAACAACAACAACAGCATAGGAATACAATCGAAGAAGTCAGGCAATGACAAACGTAAAGCACATAAAAGGAAAATCGCTGACCGGGAAGAGGCAGCTGCGGCGGCGGCGGCGGCGGATAGCTGCTGCAGTAGTTCGGAAGAGGACACTTTGGTGAGCCGGAAACAGCATTTCACCAGCTTGAGCCCTGCCTCGTCGTCTTGTCAATCCATCACGATGCCACCCAGTCCACCGAAAACGAACGGCAGCGGAAGTGATAAGAGGCCGGCTGTGAGCGACCCGAACGCCGTGAAAGAGCTCGAGCACGCCATGTCCAAACACCTACCGCCGACCACGGACAAGACGTCCGCGTCTTCGGCAACGGCAGTACACCAACCGACCGACTTCAGTACGGACGCGCTGCTTAAGCAACAGCAACAGAAGAGTACGATCCAATGGATCGGAGCGCACCACCTGGGACATCACCACCACCTTCATCAGCAGCAGCAACACCAACAGCAACAGCTGAACGGTGGCCTGCACCTGCAGCAGCACCAGCATCAGCATCACCCTGCCGGGCCACCTCACCACCATCACCTACATCATCACCAACAGCACCAGCACCAACAGCAACAGCACCAGCACCACCATCACCACCAAGGTGCATCGCCACACGGCCAACAGTCGACGGGCGGTGCACCAGGCACCACACTTCCCGCTTCAGCACTGCTCCGGCAAATATACGCCAACCGCGAGTCGGTGATCCGCGCCAACGTGCACGCTCCCCGTTCACCCGGCGCCAGTGCTGTCTCGTATTACGCTGGTGAAATGAGCACGTTGCCGACGCCGCCGGGCAGTGAGGGTGGTTATTCAGAACAGCAACAGTTCGGGTCGCAGAAAAACGAGTTCGGGAACAGCGGCGGCCTGGCCGTACCGCCACCGTACAGTTACGCCGATTACCATACGGCCATGACGCCACCGTCGTCCGTGTCGCCACGTGATAAACACCAGCACCAGCACCAGCAGCAACAACAACAGCACCAACAACAACACCAGTACGACTTGTACGGGCCACCGCCGACGTCCGCTGACGCGTTGCTGCAGATACGGCAACAGCACCTGCACCAGCAGTACGGCCATCACGCGGAGGTGACGTCATCAGCCGCGCCCGCGCTGCCGCTGAAACCGCAGCCGTACAACCCTGCGCCCCCACCGCCGCCCACCGTGCCGCTCGACCACTACGATCAGACGTCAGCGGCCGCGGCCGCGGCAGCCGCAGCGTTTTATCATTCGGCCGCCGGCTTTCATCTCTACCATCCGTCCAAGTCGAACATGGCCACTGGCCCGCCGCTGCCACCTCCACCGCCGTCGTCCGTGTACGCTGCCGACTCGCTGAAGAACCACCACAACTGGTACTCCACACCCACTTAGTGTGCACTCGGTGTAGATTTATGATTATTTATATTGACATTTCACGATGAGTACATATTTTCACCCCTATACAACATTTTACCAGATAAAAGCGTGTGGGGAGGAGTTGATTTTTAAACGCGAAACGTACCTACTCAATCTATTTTCTCGGACATGGTACTTCTGAATGATTATCTAAACAATAATAACCTACTCATCATTGGATACCAAAATCTGTGATTGCTATAAGATTATACAATATTATAGCTTTTAACTAAATTCTGGTAGTTCGTGGTAGTTACTATAAATATCGACATAATATATATATATATATACATATATAATAATATGTATCTAAATTTATTGCAGGTGCATATATCTTATGTTTCGCCATTCTTTTTCTCGATATTTTGATTATTCCTTTTTTAAACGCAGATAACGTTCGTTATTCTAAAACCGAAAAAGTATAAGGATGAGTACATTGGAATGTTTTGGACACAATAATGATATTAGGATCATGGATTATACTTATAGAAATCTTATAATACACCGGTGCAGTTACAGGTTGGCGAAAATAATATATAATTAACTTAAAAAATACATCATAAGTACTATATTATAGTACTAATTGTAGATAGTTATAGGTCGATGGATAGTTAAATACAACTATGTGATGTATTTTATAACGATATTATTACATCGATAAAATGTCCTCTTATCAGGACATGATGTGTATTGGATTTCAACGATGAGTTGTCTGTAGATATTCCACCATCATCACTGCACATACTTACTTCCCTAACTCACTCGTAAAAACTTTGAATGACACCTAACAAACTAATATGTAGAAGTATAGTCTGTTTAGATAACTAAATAACTTGAGAAAACTTACCAAACAATATTATTATAGTCAATAAATAGTGTAAGTTTTAAGTAGGTACCTACCCATTTAACATAATTATTTATGCACCAACGTATGCGTTTTATTTTGTTTTATATATAACTGATTATGATAGGTATAGATGACCGAGAAAATACGGGTTTCGCATAAAAATAGCGCCTCTGTTGTGTTTGCGATTGGTAAACTTAGCTTTTAATTATTATAATATATATTTTGCTGCCGCTGTATTTGTTTAAGACTGTAATATTGTCATTATTCTTATTTAGAATTAATAAACATAATAATATTGTACATTATACCGATTATGTAAAAAACCCTACCTAAAAGGTTGTATAAAATGCGTAATGTCTACTATACAAACTACTATGCACATATTAATTAATATTATGAACTAACTATATATATTATATTTTGTTAAGACTATATCCTTTTTTTTTCTATACTCATACATGTTTTAACCAAAGATTGTATTTTAGTGTCGAATTTTTAAATTATGTGCCAACTAATTTTTTAATAAATCGATGATGTACCTACCACTACTGCAGGTATGTAAAATAATAATAATATAAAACTATAATAATATATAGTTTCAATATTTATTTGCATTTAAAAATTTGACAATTTCGACACCGGGCGTTTATTTTTGGTTTAAAAGTGTAATTATTATAAAAACGTATAGTCAACTCAAACGAAATATTTTCAAATTTTAACTCAAAATGACATTGCACAATTTTATGTATTGAAAAATACTCCTCGTATACAATTATTATTATTATCCGGTCAGAATGGCGGTACATGTTTTGTATATATTATTTTATACATTAGAGATAAAAATATTCTAGACTTTTATCATAATTACTATGTAATATAGGTATGTAAGTTATACGTATAAAAAACATCATATCAAATTTATTTTAAAACTAACTGCTGAATGTTTCAGTGTTGCACTCATCTGTATTATAAATAATTTACGAGGTGTTTTTATTACGCTATCGTTATGAGTTAAGACTCAGTAAATAAACTATACATAATATGATAATAACATATTGTTATTTTTTATAATTAAAATTTGTTTTTTCCCTTAAACAAGAATTTTATTGTTTGAAAACATGTTAGGTGGTTAATTATTTTATTATTATTATTTTACGTTGGCTCAATTAATTTGTATATAATGTAATTTTTTACACACATGTATAATATTACCTATTATTATTATTATTATTATTATTATTATTACTATTATTACTATTATGATAACTAAAATGGAGTTAAAGCTATTAGTAAGTGTTAACTGAAATGTGCAATAGACACACGATTATATCAGTGATATTTATTCCTTGTTTGTAATTTAAAATATAAACAAAAATAAATTTTAAAAATGGTTTCATGTCAATTGTTTTTCTTGATTTCATAATCACATGATTAAAAAAATGTTATAAACTTATAATTGTGTAAGTAAATAATTTGTAGTAAGAGTGTCAATCAATAACAGGTGGTCTGATTTGCTTTATTGGTGTTTTTTAATGTTTGTAATATTAATCTGAATGAAGAAAGAAAATGGGAAAAATTGCCCAGAAAATTTGAGAAAACTGAAAGACTTTTACCGTGGAATTTTTGTATATAAGTATAAGTGGTTACCATACATATTAAATTTCCTTTTCATCTATCTTCTTTAAGCAGTTTAAGCTATAATATAATTGATCGGATATAATAATTTTTATGTTTGGTATACAATATGTTTAACCTTTGTTGGTTTATCCAAAGTCAGTAGACTTGAAAGTTAAAAACTACCTACTGGAAAGTTTTCAATAAAATTACTATAAACAGATTCCTTGTAAGTTGAGAGAAATAATAGTTCGATACTATACTAGCGTGAGATAAAAATAATGTAAGATTTTCTACAATTATTATTTAATAGGTTTGTAAATGTTAAGTATTACATAAAATACATCACATCAAATTTATTATTTAATTTTTAAGGTGTTATTATTACACTATTATTATGAATTAGTTAATACTATATTATTTTTTTTTATAATTATCAAAATTTTTTTTTCCTCTTGAAGTATAATTTTATTTTTTGAAATCATGCAAGGTTATTAATTATTTTTTCATTATAATSATGATTATCTTAATATCTTAGTTTGTCTCAATTAATTATTGTATACAATGTAATTTTTACACACATAATATAATATCTAATATTTAGTGTTGAGTAGATTAGTTTTGCAATTGAATGAAATTACGTTACTCGTTACATTAAAATAAATATTGATACTCAAATTACATTATATTTTTATCACGTTACTTTATTTTTTCATTAAAAAAATAAGATATTACAAATGACATTTCTTTTTTCAATAATTAATAGTAAAATCAGTCCATAATGTTTAACTACTATTCAGTAGTAATGAACAATAAGTAGGTACCTAATAATTAGTAATAGCATAATGTTATACATTATACATTATAGTTTATAAGTATAAATACATCATTTATGATGAAGGTACATTATTACATGAACAAAATGTATAAGCATTAATTATTGGAATCTTTAATAATATTGTTGATTATTATTTAAAGCTTTTAGAATCATAAACAAATTAAATTTTGATTTTTAATTCTTCTCATATGTCCTAGCACTTAGATTTTGTCATACATTTTACATTCATAACATATTTTAATCATGTGGAAAATAACACATTATTCCATAGGCATTAGTTTTATAAAGTTATTTCACTACAATCGCATCAATTTAAATAAAATATAACGAAATCATTACAGACTACAGAGTTACTAGAGTCGGGCCAAGCAATAGAACACTTCAGGTAAGTTTACAATTTTGCGTACCTTTTATTCTCAAAAATGTATTGATTTAGTGCTCTCCCACTCATTTAAAATATTGCAGGTGCTAGGTATATTGCCAAGCCATCGATCCGAACTCTAAGAGTTACTGCAAAAACAGTTTTGTTACAGTAATTTGTGATTTGTGACTTGTGTTATGTTACTACCCAACAATATATACATAAATTAATTAATATTAGAGYTGATATTAAACTTAAAGCTGTTAGGAAGTGTTAACGGTGTTAAATGTGCGATAAATACACAATTCTATCAGGGATATGTATTTCTCGTTTACAGTTTAAAATATGAACAATAATAAACTTAAAAATGGTTTCATTTCAATTGTTTTTTCATGAATGTTTTTCTTGATGGCACAATCACAGAAACCACTTTTGATTTATTGATGCTACTCAAACCGCCACCATAAATTGAAATTGGCTGACATGGAATATATCCAAGTTTTGAGTAAAACTCTTGTTTGTCTATTGTAGACAAATATGCAACATTTAAACCCAATCTATAAAAATTATTTGAACTTTTAAATATGATTTTAACTAAGTATTATGAAAATTGTTATTGCTCTGATAATTACGTTTTTATGTATTCTTCAGTCTTGTACATAAGATATTTTCCTAGTCCTTGTCCTCGGTGATGATTTACTATGATCACTAAAATAATAATAAATKTTTTATCAATTGAACAAATGATATACCTTGATAATTTTAAAGTAATAAAAGTCAACACAAAGAAAACATATCAAACATTAGAAATGTAGGTAAATGTATACTCTAAACACCAATACACCATTTTCTTTATGAGGATTTCCTGTCTTTTAATACTTTTGAATTTAATTTGTTATTAAAAGCATCACAGCATCCATAATTAAGATTAATATTTACCTGTTTCGATGAAACCACCATCAGGAATAGATGGTATTGGAGTAATTTTTGAATGTCCTATAACTTTCTTGGAATTATCTTCTTCTGTTTTTACCAATACCAAAGATGTAGGCAAAGTATCACAAGATGCCTCTAAACTGTGTAACCTAAACGACACACACAAGTCATTAAAATTAATGAATTTACATGAAAATAAAGTTCTATGAACTCAATTTTTAACATTTGTTAAACATGATTCAGTGAGCTGTGGTTGTTCCATTAAATCAGAGGTCAGTAACCCATAGCCTGTGCAACGCTCTTAAATGGATGACGACAAAAACTTATAATTAAGAAAAAAAATAGAATACTCCTACCTCTGTTGATAATAATTGAAATTTCTTATTATAATTTAATTATACAATTATTATTGAACAAAAATTCAATTCACTTCAATATTATATTGATGATGTTGAAAGCCGTTTACAAATAGAAATTATTGAGTTTTAAAGTGACAAATGTTTTAATACCACTTTTTATGAGTGCTATAACTTAATTCAGTTATATTCAAATCCCTATGAAACAAAATTTAAGAAAATAAAATATTTTGCCAAAAAAATGTTGATCTTTTTTTTTTTATTGATCAAATAATAAAAACTCGGCAGCTACATGGTCATTAGTTACAATAATGTTATTTTTGGAAGGTTTAAGATTTTAACAGCATTTTTTTTTTAAGGGGTTACAATGACAGTATGCTTTCTTAATATTTATATAAGTTTATAATGTTTGAAAGTGTGTATATTTATGAGTAAACTTTTTAAATAGTGAAATATCGAAAAAACAAATATGTTTTGTGATTAAGCAAAGGTCACTTAAACACTGTATTAAAAATTTCTACAACAAAAATCAAACTTACAATAAATTCTATTTAAACTCAAAAATCGCTTTAACTTTTATTAAATTACGTGAAAGGTCGAGCCCAATATACTATATTTTACAATGTATTTTTTTAATTATTATTCTTTTCTGATATGTTATTAATTATTACTATAATAACTTTGTTTGTAAATATTTAATCAATAATTAATATACTGGCAGTGATAAACATAAATAAATTAAATTTTATATGACAGTAAACTTTTGTTTGAATAAAATAAAGTGTATTCAAATTGTGGGCCATAAAATAATTTATTTTTATATTTTAGTCGTTGACACCAAAAAGATTGTCGGGCCCTACATTAAATCGATCAATTATTCATGGGCCTCGGTAATAATTTATTATCATGTGATAATTTAAAACAAAAAAAAAAAAAACAATTAATTTAAGAATTAAAAACCAGATATTTATCTACTTTGTAGATGGATTAAAAGAAAAAATCAGTCATTATCAATAAAACATGATTAACAAATTATTTTCAAATAAAATAATTATAAAAATAAAATGTGTGCTAATGAGTTCAGTTTAAGTTAGTTAAGAGACATGGAATATTATTATTAAATTGAATAGTTAGTGCTGGATTAACATATAGCCATATAGGTGAAGTAAACACGTGTMTAGGAATAGATAAAATTGGTCATTAGAGTGGACTATTAAACAATTTTTTTTTTTAATGGTCTATAAAAAAATGTGTCTAGGGCTATGCAATGTTTTAATCCGATAACTGTAAACAATAATTGACTATAAATGCATTCATAATTTTACTTTAAATTTATTTGCTGTTTACAAAATAATGAACATTTTAAAATCTTCTACTAAATAATTCCTAATTTCCTATTCAAACATTTATACAATCTTTACTTCCTTTAAAAAAAAGTAATACATTCCAACTGTTGAACTCTGGCCAAATTACATTGCATTAAACAGACAAAAATAAGGTAATTCTTAATCGACTTAGAATAGGCCATACAAAATTCACATATGGACACCTTATGGCAAAAACAGATCCAACTCTATACCCAACATAAAATGAAAACTACTCCATCAAACCCATCATCGTCCACTAGCTTCTATAAAGCTTGGAAAGACTTCAACATCCCTGACAATCTGTACAAAGCAAATAGCAATTGGTCCATTTTCTTACTATTAAAACATAATTTTATATCTAAAAAAAATGAATTGTACAATAACATATAATAATGTAAAAATGTAATACTTTCGTTAAAGCTAACAACCTACGTAGTTTATGCTTAACCAATACAAAAATAAATAAATATAAAAATGCATTTCATGAAATTGCTGAACACTTACATTTCTTTTCAATTTTCTCAAATATTACAAATAGGTAAATAAAATTTTATTAAACTTAAAGTATCAATKTTCTAATTCCAAATTAATAAATTGAGTTAAAGAACTTGGAAAATTTTTAATAGGTTTGAATAAATACCTGGCCACTTCACTGCGTGACCATTCTGAATTAATTAAAGCACAACATTGTTTGATGAAGTGTTTATTTCGGTGTAATGGAAATACTTCTAATTGTTCCATTGCCATTCTAATGTAGTTGTATAATGTATAGTTACCTGCAAATAAGTTGTTAGGGATTTTATTATATTAAATTAAAAACTCAAATTTTTTTAGTATAGTCAAATCGCGACAATTCGCACCTCAAAAAACTTGAAAACTCAAATTTTATTTTATTCCTCAACAAAATTCTTCCCCTATTAATTAGTTAGATATCTTGAATAATACATATATCAAAGTGATTTTTATCCCCTTTCAACTTTGAATATCGCGATTCGTCTATAATTAGTGTTAGTAGTTATATTTATATTTAAAGACATTTTTTTTTCGAGGAGATAAAAAAAAGTTAAGGATAAATTCATAATCATTTTTTTTTATTGTCTAAGTTCAAATGTTGATAAAATTTGTATAAATCACAAAAATTTGCAAATAATTTTGGTTTAAAAATTCATAATTTTTTTGTTTATATCTAAGATTTGAAAATTGAATACATGATAAGTTTATGTACATTTAATAAAAAGAAAAGTCTACCAGAAGTCAAATTCTATAATTATGAGCGTTTAAATTTTAATAACATTGGTTATATATTTGATTTTTCAAGGAGCGATTTTCTTATTTTGTTATAATTCAAAAACAAATAACTGTAGAAATTAGCAGTATACATTTATTTTATAATTTTCCATACATGATAATATTTTAAATTTTAAATTTTTTTTTTTTAAATGTCAATAAAATTGTATTATTTGAATCAAAAAGCTTGACAATGAAACTCAAGACACCTCATATATTGTTGCAATATCAGCTTAAAAAAAATATTGACACCATATAAATAAGATTTTTTGTAAGCATTTAAATATCAAACTTTGACAACATTTATCAAATTGTAAATTTACAAGTTATTTTGTAATTAAAAAATTATAAAATGTTCAATTTTTGTAACTAAAGATTTAAATTCAAAACAAGGTCTCATATAAGTAGTTCATTCTGTAACCTAATAATCTAAAAATATAAAATCACAGTTTTTTTTTTTGTTATTTTAAGTTAAGAAAAGACATATCAAAACCAAGAATACTGAATCTAATTTTTTTGTTCTAATTAAAAAATATTATGTGTAGTTAGGTACTTGAAACTTTTAGAGTAGATTAATGTTTATTTTATATACAGTACCTACACACCATGACATTTTCAAATTTAATTTTTTTTGACAAAAATGATTTTAATCTATTGTAGTAGGTACTAATGCTTAATAGTAAAATAAATTACTTTAATCACGATAATATATAAAATATACATAMTTGATAATATTATGTTTATGTCAGAACTGATTTTAAATTATTGAATTCAAATTTTACACATCCATAAACAGTCCTTCTAGACACCTAATGTACAGAAAAGTGTTACCCACTTACCAGCTTTCTAATATTGGGAAGCTCAAGTATAGGTACTATAAATATTAACAAAACCCAAAAAAATGACTAATACCTCGAATGAATTGTAATGATCTCATATATAATATGATATGAATAATTGTTTTTAAAGTGAATCACATTAAATTAATTATTTATTAAATGATAATATTTTGGAAACATTATCATTTCTAAAAGTTTGAATAGTAATAACTAATAAAAACCAATAACTACATGGAAAATAGAACACATATAAAGAAAAAAATATTTATAACTGAAGTGTTTAAGGCAATATTGTTTTAGACATTTTTTTTTTCAAAAATCTTAAATGAACAAATTTAATTTTTGAAATTTGTTTTTAAATGAGATAAATTAATTGAAGATATTTAAGATTTAAGAAATTAAATATTAATAACCTATATTTTTAATTATTGAATTTAAAAAAAAACTTATTCTTTCAAAGATTTTCAATTTTTTTTTTATACCTCAGTAATTGAATAATTATTAATTTATTATACATTGTATTATTAGTTCCTAGCAATATATTAAAATACTAAATATTTTTCGAAGTAAACACTTAACTTTATAATAGTATATTAATCAGTAATAAATTATATATTAGAATTACATAAATACAAATTTTTCTAAAAAATGTTTTGTGTTGGAGCTTTTAATAAAAAAATTTCTAGTTAGTTGGTACTTAAAGTTCAACAACGCCATCTATTTGTTGAAAAGTGTCATAACAAAACAGATATTGATTATTTTTATTCTATTTTTCAACCAATCCTTAGAAACCCTATCAAAATGTTATCATATTATAAACAATATTTACAACATTGTCTACATACCAAATTTTAGTCATTAAAAAAAAAAAATTTTAATATTTCAAAAATGAAACCAGATAAGTCAGAAAACAGCCACATAAACGACAATGATTTAAGCAATGAATTAAATAGTCATATGTTTTGGATATTTGGTTACGGCTCATTGATATGGAAAACTAATTTTCCATTCGTTAAAAAATACCCCGGATACATAAAAGGATACACCAGGCGATTTTATCAGTTTAGTCCTGACCATAGAGGGACTAATGACTTAGTAAGATTAAAATTATGTTTTTTAATTATTCATATGGTAATTTTACTGTACTTGTGCATTTCATTTGTACTATGTAAACCTAGTGATGTTACAAACCTTGATTTATGAGGTCGATCCAACCCAAACTAAACTTTTTTTATTTTTAACAAGTCCCAATCAAACTCACATTTTTCATTATCCAAAACACAAATAATTTACTAGTTATTTTTTTTTTTTTTTTTTTTTTTAACGGTATAGTAATAATAATACCTATAATTTTTTTTCTTATTATTCAATAAATTGAAATCAATTTTTATTTCAATAATTTGACTGAAAATCAAACAGTTTGGATCATCACTATGTAAAACTAAAGTTTATACTAATTATTTATAACATTTTTTAATTAATTTCAGCCCGGACGAGTAGTGACTCTTCTACCATCAACTGATGAAGTAAATTTAGCTTATTTTATTCAACAATTATAAATTATGTATATAGTATACCCATGTGTCTCGAGAAACAAGGTACACTTTATAACTCATTACCCTGTAATTCTGGTCACGGAAAATTAAACTAGACTAATTGATCATAAATTTCAATAACTTAAAATTTTATTAACTCGTGTATTTAGCGAATGTGTAAAAAACTTCATTTTTATAAATGGTAACTCTTATTTTAAATATCATTTTCAGATTAATTGATTTTTTCCATGAAGTTTGTGTCCAACTTGTGTTGTAAACTCAAAATTGGCTAAATTAGAGCTACCTAGATGTAATTAAAAGAAATCTTATAAAATAGATTGTATATATTATATATTATTATTTTTTATTATTGTTAGTATCATATCCTTCTAAACACTGTTTGTACATGTTTGTAATTTCTGTAAATTACATTATAAATTAAATCTATAGTATTGTTAAAAAAAATGTAAATAATTTATTACTAATTAATAATAATTTTGATTACATTACGGAGTTTAGAAGGAAATAATGCGAACAATTAAAAAAAAAATTCAAATTTAATATAATAGATTTTTTTTTATGCAAACTCAAAATACATTAGTTAAAAGATCTTAAGTCATAGGAATTTATGATTGATTAGTCTAGTTTAATGTCCCGCAAACAGAATTGAAAGATATTTCTAGGGTAATAAGCGATGAAATAACCCTGTTTTTTAGGTCACACAGTATATGCATAATATAATAATATGGTACTTTTCAGTTGTTTGTTATCGCTATTGCGCCATAAAAAACTTGTTGGTGAACATATATATAAAATAATATCAATTAATATACAATTACAAAACTTTCAACTAAAAGTGAATAATAATAATAGGCATATTTTTTGTTAAAAATGAATGCGAGTTTAAATATTGTGGAAAAAATCACTTATTCAAATTTCAAATTAATTTTTAACAATATTGTAAGATAAATTATTGATGTTTTTAACATAGATATATGCTTGAAATTACAGATACCATATTACAATAATCTGACAAAATACTAAGTATTACTATGGCTATGTATAATATATATCTTTAATTGTGTGGATTAATAACATGATTATAAAATAAGAAAATACAATTTCAAGTGTTAAACGAACTTTTTCATGAGTAGATCACATACTAGATGTAAATACATGTAAATATTAGAATACAGAGAAATATTGATCATGAATATTGCATTTTTAGAGTAAGAGGATTCTACACCTGCAAGCGCATTTGTAAAATTTAAAAATAAAAATAAATATAAAAAAAAAACCTATGAGATTTGATAAATGATATTCTATCTTTTAATTTTGATAATAGTTAAGTTCACTCTAATATTAAACATAATTAGAGTTAATTGCATATGTCAGAACATATAATTGGTGGGTGACAACAACATATACGAATAAAGTGTAATTTTAAAGTCTGCTGACATAAGCTCATCGTCATCTAGTATCAGAGTAATTATCTTATATTATGGCTCGATGGCAGAGAAATAACAAACAAGTTCCACAATTATATTTTATAAACATATAATGCTATCATTAAAACATGGTACTTCTTACAAAACTTAATATTTGCGATTTAATGTGATTTTAGAGTCGAGTATGGGGTATAGCATATGGGATCGACAATCGAGATATAGATAATGTATGTGCAGGGTTGGACCTACGTGAACGCGCAGGTTATACTAAGAAAGTTATCCAATTTCATACGAAAACAAATGAAGATCAAATACCATCAGAAGTTATTGTGTATATAGCAGATGAAAACAATGAATGGTTTGCTGGTGAAGCACCTATTCAACAAATCGCTTCCAGAATAGCAATCTGCCGTGGAACCAGTGGATCAAATCCAGAATATGTACATAAATTAGCAGCAGAAATGAGACGGATAGCTCCTGAAGAAGATGATAAGCATTTATTTGAACTTGAAATGGCTCTGAAAAGCATTGAAAATAGTTTGTAAGGGAAACAAATATTTTAATCAAATATAAGAAATTTTTATTTAATTCATGTTTATTGTTTTTATTGTAAGAAAAACAAATAATATATATTATTGTTATAATATTTAATAAGTATTTTATTTTATTTTTTATTTCATCCAATACAAATTACAATTTTACTTCTAAATCAAGAAAAAATGTACATGACTTTTCAAATATTTGATGAAACATTTATAACTGTCTCCATAGGCAAAACTACAAAACTGTATTAGGACTAGCAAAATGATAAATATGAAAAAAAATTCTAATTACATAATTCTTATTTTTCATTCCAGCCGTCTAATATTTTATTGGCACAATCAATCACTTCAATTAATGTTACGTCCATTTAACCAAACTTAATATCTGACCTCATTAAACATCTGTTTATAAGTATAAATATTGTTAAATTATGAACTAACCTAATTCCTGAAAACCTGTAAAATAAAATAATATGAGACTTGCAGATTTTAGACTTTGAATAGTAATAAGAATATTTTATCTCTTTTGCTGTAGTTAGATGATAGATGATAATGATTATATTATAATTTACATGAATTAAATAAGGTAGTAATTATTTAAAATTTAAATAGATTATGCATTTAGAAACAAATAGATCCACAATTTAATGACAATAATTTATGGCAGCAATAAGTATTATTATTATTATGCACAATTAATTAATATTAAGAGGTATAACACTATTATTTTGATTAAATAATTAAATAGATAATATTATTATTAATTAATTTTAATTAATTCCTATAGGAGGTAGTATCTAATTAAAAATGATATGCATACATTTATATTTCAAATAGTAAGCCGCTCGCTAAAAATTACAATTTTCAAATTTAATTGAATTGCCTACACAATTTGTTTAGATAAAATATAAAATARTTTAATATAAACTAGAATTCTTGACACTTGTCCCTCCAAAAAAAGTTTAAAAATAAAAATAACATTAATCATAATTAGATACTTACCTATTATTTTAATATGGGTATACCTATTTATAAATGCATAGTAATACATTAAGGCAATGCTCATAGACAAAATAACAGGTCGGGTCAGTTAGGAATTAAAATAAAAATATTATATTTTTTAGTTAAAGTTTTGTTGTTCATCATTTGACCTGTAATAAATCCTAATACAATGTTCTAGTTTCAATTATAAAAGTGCTATCCTACTATAAAATTGAAATTTGAATATGTTGTAATTAGCTGATTGCAACACAGCACATTCAGAGCATAATCAATAATATCATAAAGTTCTTAGTTAACTACTAAGGATATTTTGATCCAAATGGTCAGATGAATAACGTATAATATGAAATATATATATTAAATAGAAAATACTTAATGATAAATAATAAATTGTCTTCAAATAATCTATTACCAGGTATGCCGTATGCAGCAAATTCCAACTCGAATCGAATATTATAAGATATAACAATTTACAAATTTTAAGTTTAAATAGATACAACTGATAGAAATTGTTAACAACAAAAACATATTGATTACAGGATAATTAGAAATATGTACATAAATAAATAATAAATATATCTAAATATTTCATTAATTCATTAATTCATTTATTTTATTTAAATACTAAATTGTAATAAAAAATAAAAATATAAATGAATAGATAGTAAACAGTTAATAATAACTGATAATAATATGTCGTTTTTTCTCGTCTTTATTAACATTTTAAGACCTGCCCAAGGTGGATTGATAGAATGATAGTTAATCCACATTGATGGTGCTAGCACGCATTTAAATGGTTGTTATTTAGTTATGATGTTAACTAAATACTATTCAACATCCCCTAAATTCAATATTCACCAGGATATTGTGGATTTGTGGTAAAATAATATATCTAACATCTATAATTAGTATAATTCGGCCTTCTTCGGTTCTTTGCACTCGAGTCTCGAACTTACTGCGAGGAGTGATATCACTATATATTATCTGATAAGCTATAATCATTATCACGGAAGCGCCGGTTGAGCGATATGACAAAAATTGACAATAATGTTATTTAGATTATTGGCTTATTGCTATTATTGATCAATCCCCCTTGATAATTGATATTATCCTAGACCATGGTCTTATATAAGACCATGTCCTAGACCACATACAATTGTATATACAAATATACTAAGTGTAATTTCGTAAAGACAGTCACAGTATTACTATTTTAATCAATAAGTAATAACTGTGAGAAAAGTCTTCACTCTTTATGCAATATAGTAATCTTCAATCATGATTACGAATTACGATACCTACCTACAATAAATTATTGTCATCTTTGTTTTTTTCATACATCAACAACTGCAGTGGTTCACAGATTGTTCTGTAGTTCTATGCTCGCTGGCTTATTCTTATTTCTAAATTCTTACAGAAATTCTGTCGCTTCTCGGGCGGTTTTGCTACTAATTTGATATTTGAAAATTTGAATGACGAAGGACTTTACCGGTTATCAGTTTATCACTTATCTGTTATCAGTTATCATAGTGAATAGTGATCGAGTATTCAAGTGGTTGCTAATTTGCTATAATATTTTGCTGCTTGCTAAGACTTGAATCTTGATGAGTGTAAATGGTTCGTAGTTTAGTTTTAGTAGCTTATTATTATTTTCATACCTTTTAGTTTTTTGTATTTACTTTTTTTCGTAAGTGTACATTTAATTTACAAAATCCAAGACGTTAAACCTGGCCAAAATCTAGAACATAGTATCTTCTACCTAGTACCTTGGTTTATAAGTTATTTTTGAACGGTAAACAAAATGATGTCAATATATTTTATTAATTAATCGTAATAATCAATATTCTGTTCTCAATTCTTAAATTAAATATCAATTTATGATTTATCTATAGATTTATAATACTTTGTTTTCTTTTCATTTCAGTAGCATTCAGTACAATTTAATTGTATTACTGCTGTTAATATAAATATGGCTACAAATTTAATAATATTGGGTGAAAATGCTGCTAGAATTAATGTGAAAGTCAATCCTAATATGACTGTTCTGAAAGTAAGTACCTTACATTGCCTGATATTTAAGCAATACCTTTTATTAATACATTTAATTTTTATAGGTAATAGAATTAGCCTGCACAAAAATGAAGGCAAACAGCGATGATTTTGATTTAAAGTAACTATTTCCTTTACTTTCCTTTTTTAAAAATAAATTATAAATCAATGTTCTGTGTTTGGCTGTCTGTTTATTTTATAGATATCACAACAAAATATTAGATACAACTAGTCTGATCAGATATACAAATATTGCCAATAATGCTTTATTGGAATTAGTACCGGCTACAAAATCTAGACAAAATAGTTCTGTTGGTGTATGGTTACAAGTAGAAGATGGATCTAGATTATCCGGCGAATTTCCATCCAGCCGTAAGCTACATTGACAATGTTATCTATTATTTACAATTTATATAATATTTTTTTCCATTTAATTTTATTATTTTTGATAAGAAAATCTATGGGAAATCATAAAGATATTATTGAAAGACAATTTTTCTAATTATGAAAGTCCCGCTATAGTTTATACTAGAATGGAAATAATTGGTAAAGAACAGTTGCAGCAGAAAACATTAAAAGACATTGGACTTGTTAGTGGCAAAGTCTTGTTAAGGTTAGTCAAAACTAAAAACCAATAACTTAACATATCCACTGTATTCTAATATTTAAATAGTTGTCATTAGATAATTGAGCATTTTTTTTTTGGCTTATTGCCTATTGGTAACATTTTATAATTGTAAAAATTTGAAAATGCAGTGAATATGTTAATTAGGTGATTGGCTCTTTAGTTAGTAAAATCATATTAGTTCTCTTGTAAATTTTCAACTATAATTTTATTGTTTATACTTCAATGTTGTTTATCAAAATTAATTTTAATTTTCAAAATTTACTTAAAAAATGTTATATTCTGATTTACTAGATTACTTAATAAAAAAGAATCTGAAGACCAAGCTCATGTATATGTACCTGCAGCAAGAAAACCAAAAGTTGAAGAACCTCCTAGATTTTTAGGCCATAGAGAAACAAACGCAAATGAATTAGCAAGTGTTGAATCTGCAAAGGTCATGGCAACAAATCCACAAGAGTCCGTAGATATCAAACCAAATACTGATGATATAGCTGAAAAATCTGAGTGTATAAATATGTCAACATATCAAAAAAACCTTGATAATGAATTTAAAGCAAAAGACAACAACAAAAAGCCTACTCTTTCTAATGAAGATCTCAATAATTTCAAGAACTCTATATCTTATGTTAGTAATATTCCAAGCATTTATAGTCTCTTTTATTTATACTACTACTCAATTATAAATTTATTTTTTTATATCCAATAGATGTTTATTAATATAATCAATATTAGTATTTAGGTATTCTAACACTGCAGTGGTAGTAGTTGTGGAAAATTTACCGCCACCTCCTTGACACAAGAACTTTACCATCACCGCTGCAGTTTGTAGAGGCTTTTTTATTACAATGGATCACAATAAATTAATTTCTTTTTTGTCCTCAATAGTTTATAAGTTGCATTTAAGTTATACAACTCAAAATATGGATAATAAAATTAAAGTAATTGAGCTATAGTGTTCTTAGAACTTAATTTTAAGAGAAGAAGGGGTTGTTAGTGGTTATTATTGATCAAACAAATACATTTCATATGAAATTAATTATTGCTGAAAATTTCTGAAGGAATTTGTCCCCAAACCTTTCCCCCCCCCCTTGGTTAGTAAGTCACTGTTAATGAGATTTAAGTGTATTAAAACAAAATAATCAAAAATTAAAAAAACTAATTTGCATTTTCATAGTAAGATACAAAACTATTACAATATTTATAAAAAAAAGTAAATTTCTAACTAAAATTTGTGCTCAAAAATGTTATTGTCATTAAGTTAATATTAACATTTATTTATTTTAGTTAGATGAACGCGACACATTGTTATTTGACATTATGGATGGTACTTCAGTGTTATATCAAGACGAAAATGACGATTTCTTTAATCCAACTATAAAAGATATTACTCTTGTACTACGAGATTTAAAAAATTCACGGTAATTTTTAAAGATAATATTAATTAGTTATATCAAAAGAAAGTTATACCCACTAAGCATAATTTTAGTTTTACTAATTCTAAACATGGATAATTTAACTTTCAGAAAAATTTGTTTTAAAATGCTCATAATTTGTTTCAAAATAAGATGATCAAAAAACATTTTAGGTGCCCTAGATTATATTATTACCTTAAAATGTTGGTGATAGCATTGATTTTATAATATACTATAAAAACTATGAATATATTATAAAATCAATGGTGATAGAAATAACATATTTGTAAATTCACTTAATTGTTAAAAATATATGACTAAACAAATTCCTTTGAACATAACATTTTTTATGATATGTGTTGGTGAAACAGAGATAATACAAGCGGGTATTACATCCTTCTAAAAACAATAAATACTTAACTTAAAATTATATTTATTTTAAAATGTGTAGTTTTAAATTTTAATACTCAACAGTTTAAAGGAAATTTCCACTTTACAAAATATTTTATCTTGATGGTATTTAATTAAGATTTTAAAATATTGGATATGCATTTTTTTGTTTTTAAACCATCCGAAGCCTTTTTTTACTATAATGATTGATAATCTTTAACAATACTTTTTACTCTTTTTAGAGGTGTGCATAAATATTAATAAATAAGGATATGAATGAGATACATTTTTTTTGTGTTGTATACAAATTACAGTGAAACTTCCATTTATCAAAATATTTTTAAGTTCAATGACCTTCATTATTAATCATACATATATTTTTCACCATATTAACAAATTTGATGTTTCTGTTTCTATAGAACAAATATTTGTTTTATAGAACAAACCTGTCTTTGTAAATATTGTCACTATTAAGTATTTATTAATATTATATATATTGTTATAGCAGATCACCATTCTATAACCAACTGACATACCAAAATTATTGAAAATGAAAATAAAAATTTAAAAATAAAGAGTTGTACACTTTTTATTGTGTATAATTTAAGACTAAATGGATTTTTATTTTAGGGCTCAACTTGAAGATGGCCAATTGTGTACAAATGCAATGCGAGAATTAGAAAAGACTCAAAATCAATTAAATTTATTACATAAGTACAAAAAGTGTATTATTAGAATACATTTTCCAAACAGATTAGTGTTACAATCCATATTCAAATCAACTGAAACTGTGTTTGACATAATTAATTTTATTCGAAGATATCTTATTAATGAGTCTTTAGATTTTTATTTGTGTAAGAGCCAATTGAACTTAAAAATGTATTTAGTTAAAATATGATTTTAATTTACCAATTATTTGTTTTTAACAGTTACAACACCTCCTAAAACTATTTTGAAACCTGAAGATACTTTATTGGAATGTGGATGTGTACCATCAGCAATGATACATTTTTCATGTAGTATGGAAACTGATCAATTAAAACCTGAACTCAAACATAAAATCGTGTCAGGTTGTCAAGCTTCAATAGCTGCTTATCTTGTGAGGTTAGTTATTCATATTATGTATATATTTATGAAGTCAATGGCATAAATTAAATGTTCAGAAAAAAAAGATTAAATAATATCTTGATACAATGAAATTTTTTTTTTATCATATTATTGGTATTTATAACTTTATACTCTAATATTGTATATTATACCGCATTACCAAATGGCAGTGGGAGTTAAATGGTATAATATGATGAAGGAGATAATCTCCCGTGACTTTTCAATGTTTAAGATCTGGTGACCGTAAGTTATTGTTCTAATAATAAAATAGAGCATGTTAAAAAATCAGCCATATAAAATATCCTAATTAAATAAATCATTTGACCGTCACTTCCAAATGGTCATTGTTGTATATCTGTTTCAAGTGTTTCAACTATAAGTTACAATTTGTATTACATTCATAAATTATGACATTAAACTATATACTTAATTATGAAAGTGTAACTGCAAAACTGGCATTACAGTTTACAATTATTAGTTAGTATATTCCTCACATGTACTAATGGGATTCTAAAATATTATTCTGATTTCTGGTTATAAATGTATGGTACAATAAATTCTACCTACTAATAAATAATATGATAATTATTATCATTTTCTGATTTTATATTCATTTAAGAAAAATAGCATTTAATGAAATTCAAAAATATAGTTCTCGATTTAAAACATTTTTACCTCTATATAATAAATTATACAAGATAATATAAAGGTCAAAACTCAAAAATAGCATTGTAGTTCTCTTTAAAAATTATTAAACTATTTGATGTAATTTATATTACCTTTATATGTTTGTATTTACTAAATAATTTAAAATTAATTAATAATTATAGAAAAGAAAGATTTTCAAACTCTTCAACTAATGAAACTTCAAATGATGAACAGCCAGGGACGAGTAAACAATTAGAAAATCAAAATACTAAAACGACTGTTTACTCTCAACAAAATAAAAAAAAAGCAAATAGTGGGAAGACGCCTAAATGGTTTAAGCCTGTATGAAGTTAAAGTTAAATGATTAACTTAAAATTATTATTGATGATGTATTACACATTAAAATATTTTTTTTTATCGATGCATTAAAAATCTATTATCTATTTAAACATTTAAATATTAAATTTTGTATGGCATCTATATATATATATATCATTTTAATTTTTTTATTAAATTAGTATGAAGCCATATTATTTAAAAATTATGAATAAAAAAATAATTTATTTGTTGTCAATTATGTTTGTTATATACATATTTATGATCTTGTTGCCATTGTTTTTTGTGTGTATGTGTAAATAAATAATTTACAAACAGAACATATTATGTTCATTCCACATTAACATTTAGTAATGAAAGGTTTACTAAATGTCTCATTGTTGGTCTTCCATGAGGGCAATTCTGAAAGAAAAAAAATAKAATTCTCAAACCATTCAATTTTTTAAATTACGATGAAAATATTGACAAAAAGTCAATAAATTTAGTTATTTTTTGTGTTTATCTTACCCATGGTTGTTCAATTTCTCCCATGTGGTTGATAAGTTTTCTCATATCACCCATGTTTAATACTTTACCAATCATTACAGACTTACGACAAGCACGAGAAGCAAACATTGAACGTACTCTAGAAGGTCTACAAAGAGTATTTGGTGCATCCTAAATAATGTTTCAGTATTTATTAAAAATAAGAAAAGAATTGTTATTTTAAATTTCATGATATTAAAATTACAATTTACTTGTAACATGAATAAAAGTTCATCTACATCCTCTTTACCAAAACTCCAATTATTACTCATGGGAATCATAGTTAATTTTACTTTTTTTGTTGGTTCCGCTAAAACATAATAAATAATATACTTGATATGTGATAAGAATGAACATGTTTCAAAATAGGAATAAATAAAACTTACCATCTTGTTCGAAATTAAAATCAAATCCGTTCATTTGAAAAACATTAATATTTTCCATTAATACCATTTCATTAACAGCAGTTAACTCTAATTGCTGAGGTCTATAAAAACATAAAAAAAATTAAATTAACTAACTCAAAATATTATTAGCCAAATGTCTGAATGTACTATAAATTTTCATGTAGTAAATAATACATAATTTAAAGAAATTCTGTTTTGGAAAACATTTTTGTTTTTATTTAAGATCTTTACTAACACCACTAATTTTTGGCTGGTAATTTTAGTTGTATTTTGTAATGTTTCAAAGTTATATTTTTCATCAGTAGCATGTTGATCAACTATAAATAAATCAGCATCAAGTTTGGTAATAATGAAACCCAAATTAAATTGCCCAATTATACTCATCTGTAAAGAATTAATAAAAATTCTGTATTTATTTTACTTTTAACTTTTAATATAMTATTACTTACTCTAGAAAACATATCTTTAGAAATCTCTCTACTTAATTCAACCTCAGCTTGTTGATTTTTACTTGGATCAATAGTTGCAAAAAAACGTGTTTTTATTTTCTGTTTTTCAGATCTTTGAAATCTTAAATTACTTAACCTTTGTTGAATTTGTTCAAGGCTAGTTTCAACTACTACAAATTTTCTTTCTTTTGGTGCTATAGAATTGTCTACTTTTACAATAGCATTTGTGTTTATTCTTGACGAATCACAATCAATATTAATATCTTTACCAAATTCATTTTTAACTTCGCTCTTATGTGAAGAATCATATTTAATGTCTATTAAAGAATCTGATTTTTCAGCAACAATTTTTAAGCATAATGTATTATCATCCATATTCTCACAATTTGAATTATCAACAGAATATTCAGTTGATTCAACATTCTTACTTTTTAAATTGTTAATATACGTGGATTTTCTTTTATCATGTTTAATGCTTTCTTGTTTCTGTTCATCAGTTTTTTCCTCATTGTCATTGATTGCAATAGTGTCATTGGTGTCAGTACATTTAAAGGGACTGGTAGATATTTCATTTTCTATTAATTCTTCAGTATTTTTTTCAATAGACTCAATTTTTTGTTCAAGAAATTTATCTATTGTACTTGAAACAGCTGTTGCTACTTTAAAATTATCAGATTTCCATCTGGTAAGTTTAGCTTTAATTTGTTCCGAATGACTAGGTGATTCTTTATTTTTATATTCATCATTTTTATCCAATTTCAGTACTGAAATAATTTGTCAATGATTAAAATAATGTTGTATAAAAAACAGATTAATAAACTAGAATGTTGATCAATAGATGTGAACTATAATATATAAAAGAGAAGAGGTTTACATATTTAACTCATGTAGCTCTATTATTGCTTTTTTTTTATGTATCAAACAAATAAAATGTGATTCCTCAAATAAATAAAAACAGTTGTTGCTTACCTTTATAATTTTTATCTTCTGTAGTTGATTCGTAAGGCCTTTTAGTTGATATTGATTCGTACAATAATGTATTAATCTTGTAAGTAGACGGAATATTTTCAAACAAACTATTCAAACTGGCCTTTTAATAATAGTAATATTTAAACACAGAGTATATTACAAATTATAATAGCTGAAAATGATGAATTTTCTGAAATATTATATGGAAAATTTATACAAATTATAATAGCTGAATAATAAATATGAATTACTTTAATTATTGATATTAAGATATTTTCATTAGATAAAAATATTTGTCTTTTATCGGGTGTCACATTAATATCTACTTCAGCTCTTGCAATAGTTATATTTAAGTAGACAAATGGATATTGATTTTGATTGTATTGATGGTAAACTTCATTTACTGCTTTTATAACCTAATATAAAAACAAATAATATATTATGCATAACATTATTCTGATTTTAAACTAAACTATACACTGTTCAACGTAGAAACATAATCAGTGACAAATCAATTTTGTTAATTCACAGTCAGGCAACATCCGCTGTCACCCTATCCAATTAATTATTTGTATACTTGGCATATAGTATTACCATAACCCCTGGGCACAAGTCAACTATGTTTATTATTTTGAACAGTGTTTATACTTGGTTGTTTATTTTTTTTTTTAAATGTGAATCAGTTCTGTTGTTACAATTTGATAACATTTAAGTATCAATTTTTGGATCCATAAGATGAAAAATAATATTTAATTTCCATAGGAAAATATTTCAAAAATACATAAATTTATAAAAATAAAACTGTGAATACTTTTAAAGGCTCGCAAGGTCTAGAATTTATGAAATAAAATTGTCTGTCCTTAGAACTTCTACCTCCACTATGATCACAACTAGATATGTAACCATCCAGTTCAAAAATATCTGATTTATCATCTTCTTCATCAACAGGAATGACTTTTTTTAAAACTAATAAACTGTTAGCCTGAAAATAATATCTGATAAATAAAAGAAGATCATACATAACATACAATAATTAATTTACCTGTTTAGAACCATAAATACATGATATGTTTTCTAATACTGTGTTGCTTCCATGTGTTGATAGAAGAACATTGTTTAAAGATTTTGTTTGATTAACACACGACAATCTATAAAAAAAAAAGGTTATTCATATAAAACTAACCAAAGTTAGTTAGAATAAATATTAATTTACTTCACTTTCGTAGCGACTAAACAGTAACCAGTTACTACTTGGATCATTTTTCCAAATTCTTTTTTTAAATTTCGATGAAACTCTTTATGTCTTACAGGCAAGGAATAGAATAAATTAGACAATGTAACAGATGTTCCAACCTAATTAACAGGTAATTTAATTGAGTAAATAAAAATAAAATTAATTTTATAGTGCTATACAGTATATATTGCAGTGTATTGCTGAAAATAATCATTGGTATTCATGGCCTTTTTCACACAGGCAGGTATCAATGGTAAAGACTAAAAACTAAACACTTTATCATGAAAAAACAATTATTTTTACAGTATCTTCAATATCAGTATTTTGTTGCAGTCATTATTATGTCATCAGATACAACTTGTATCATACAAGTACTAAATACTTTTGGAGATGAACTATTCTTGATACTACAACAATTCATTGTTGTACTTTTCCACACAAAAACCATAAAAACCCAATGAAAAACATGAAAGGACCCACATGACATTTTCTATTCTAAGAAATTGAATTGAATTCAGAAAAATGATGTTAACGGTTAATGCACCCATAAAAAGTCATTGATTATCAAAATATTATTTTATAATCACCAGATATCTGATAAATATTATTTGAGATTAGATTATAAGAATTACAAATAATTAAATAAGAAATTAAGAATTGTTTTTTTTTTTTTATTAGAACTACTATAGTAGCTGCTCCTGCTTCATCATAATCAACATTTTAAATTAATTACAAAAAAAATTGGACTCTCCTGCATTTATATTTGATATAAGTTTCTACAAAAATGAAAAATCTTTTTCAAAATGACATAATGACTGTTTTAAATACCTAACCTAAGTAATAAATTATTAATGAGTTTAACTTTTTTGTGGCATAATATAATAACATCATACGATAATATCAAAGAAACCACCTCAATACAACATTGATTATAATATATTTGTAACAAGCATGTATTTTATTATTTTTTTTTTTAATAATAAATCATCATTATAAATAGTACCTATAGTAAAAAAATCAGTGTATTTTTTAAGATTTATCATCATTTACTACTAGTTTTGGTAAATTACATCAATGACCGGTGAATGATGTACGTTTGAATTTAAAATCTGGTTTTTTACATCATTTACCTACATGATCGAATCACGTAAAAGACGTAATTTGCCGGAGTATGACGACATTCACCAATATTCATCTTTTAACGTAACATATACATATATATTTAATAATAAAATCATACTTGTTTAGCAATAGGGACTTTCATTTTAATGTTTCCTGTGTGATCAAACACTAACTTAATACCACATTCTTGTGATGAATGTCTAGTAATCACTGTTACATCACTTAAAGCACATAATGAGCTTAATGCTTCTCCGCGGAAACCAAATGTTTCTACTGAAGTCAAGTCAGAAAAGTCTGTAATTTTAGACGTATGGTGTTTTAAAGCTAAAACCAAATAAACAAAGTTAGATTGAGTATTAGATTCTTAAAATATCATTATAATCATACCAAGTCCTTCAAAATTATCAGGATGAACCCCAGCTCCATTATCTGTAACTTCAATGAAATCTTTACCAAATTCTTTTAGTTTAATCCCAATCGAAGTAGCACCAGCATCTAAGCTGTTTTCTATTAACTCCTTTACCGCAGTGGCCAAGTTCAGTACAACCTTAAAAAAATATATGAAAATATTATATTATTGAGATACATCATAACAATTAAACATAAAATATATGTATATATACATAGGTATTATTGTTTATTTAAAATTACCTGACCAGAACATATTTTATGAACGTCCAATTTATTTATTGGCTTGATTTGGCCAGACATCGAAAATTTTAAAATACAATCAATCTACAGTAGTATTAAGATGAAAGAGTATTTAATATCAAATTTTGCAATTTAAAAACTAAAATAATACTTGAAAACATTTTTAAATTTGATGAAAATAATAATCAGTTTTATAGAAATAATTGGTTGATTGAAATAGTAAAAAATACTAAATACCAATGAAAAAAATATGTAGCAAATTAATCACAATCTTGGAGGATAATTATCAAGTATTTTGTCCTTTTTTTAAAAGTTATTTGTAATCTGTCTTGTATTATTGTTTACAGTATTCAATACTGAATAATTATATTAACTATTATTAAGCAAATGTTGTTCTATTATGACACACGACGAAGTCTAGAAATATTCTCGATAATAAGTACTAACTACTATAAGTAGAAAGTATTCCGATTACCGGCAGACCACTGTAAAAACGGTTGATATCACTAGAAAAATACGATTTATATCAGTAATCGTGCAACAAAAATATCATAATATCTCATCTGTTTTGAATAAACAACAAATTTCATTATCATACTGGCCGGCGCCCCCACTAAATTCGATTCAGGTTTTCGTCTAATATGCTGCCTACCCATAAAATGGTATCCACCAAAACACTGTATGCGGGTGCCGTGTAGTATGCAGTATGCTACCTACCATAGTTGGGCAACTTTTTTACCAATAATACAAAATGAAATAGAACTAGATTTAATTATTTATTCAGATCAATGGCGAGTAGTACCTTAAAAGATATAGGTTATCACCACGAAACCGTCAATCATTCCGAGTGTTTTGTTGATCCCTACAACGCGCCCAAACACAAACGATCGAGTGTATATGGAGACATGTTAAAACTAAATRCGGAATTAAAACCCGWAGAACAACAGATTTGTTAGACCGACAATTAATAGAAGAATKGTGGCGGTTCGTTAATACCCAACACGATTTATTAGAAGTTTTCTGGAATGATATAAAAATAGTATAATGTGATGTACCTATGATAATATATTAATATATAGTGACGAATTTAAATATTATAAAAAAATAGTATATAATGTATAATGATATATAATGACGTACTGAAATATTATGAAGTACTTGAAAACGGTAAATAAATAAATAATTTAGTAATAAATTGTTTTAATTTGTTATTATTTTATGGTAGGTAGCATACTACACCAACGAAGTAGCTAGGTAGCGGTAGGTAGCATATTAGACGAGTACCATTTATTATTATGATTTTGGTATTATGATATTATATTGCTCATTGATTTCTCTGCAATAAATACAATTACAAGTTGTTATGATATATTAATAGATATGCACTATTGCACTGTGACTTGCAGTGGCACGTCGAACTGAAAATTATCCAGATGCAAGTTACAAATATCCCAAGTAATAAGTATTAATGGCTTTAATGCATTAAAATAAATTAATGTAGTATAATTAATTATATTATAAAATCTAGATCATTATTGACTATCAGTTGAGTATAAAATTATTAGGGCCCAGAAGATAATGCATTAAAACTATCAAAATATGCATTTATTTTTTTTAGCGTTGGGTTTATTAAGATGTTGATAGAAATAATTCCTAGCTAAAAGAATGGGGAAATATGCAAAAATTGGTTGACATTAAATATGGAGCGTTTATAGCTTAGAAATACAACCTTTTATTCTATTAGATTAGGTTATGTTTTATTCTACTATTACGAAAAAAAAAAGTGGAGTTAGAAAACAATAATAATATGAGATAAATACCCAAACACAAATTTTTATCATAGTAGTTCTCATAAACTGAATTTAGATATTCATCACTTGAGCGATATTTTCGAAATTCGTAACACGGTACGAACAATAAAAGTTTCAATCAATTTTTCTCAAGAAAGTACTCTTAGAAGAAAATATAATCCAAAAATTCCTCGGAAACGTTATAGAAACTATGATACCTAGGAGTAAAAAAATATAAAATAAAATTAAATAAAATTCAAAAAAAATTCATTTATTTATCCATATATTAGGTACCTATGCATGTTTTATGTTGTATCTTGTATATGTTATAATATGTATTTATTAATTTTGAACATAAATAAACGATGGCAGCAGATAAGTTGGATTGTTTAAACAGATGAGCCTCCTTTTCTATCGGTTAAATAGGTAATAATTATTAAATGTATTTCATTTAATACACAATACATGCACATTTTTTTTTTAATATGTAGGGAAATCCAGATTTACTTAGGTGTAATATATATTAATTCTAAATCATCTATTATTATATTATCTAAATTATTTTTTGTGACTTATTTATTTTTATTATTATTTATTGTACAAAGATCGACTTTCAACAATGCTATAGTTGCTAAGTAACAAATCACAAGGTCGATATTATAACGAACATAATATGTTGATATTATCAAGCTTAGTAATTGAATCATTATTTGTAGTTTGCAAAAACATTAGTTTGAAGTTAAACAAAAAAAAAAAAAATGAATTTAATATCGATGAAATCTTGTATAGTCTTATTAATCATTGTTGTGAGCAATAGCATTGCTGACGATCATAATTGGACAGGTAAATATTAGATAATTGGTATAATAATATTAATAATATTATAGTTTATATTATTAATTTATTAAAATACATTTTCTTTAGGTGAGACAAAAATTGCAAGACGTATCAAAAGAATAAATCAAGAATTGATCAGGCTTAAGCAAGTGTCAATTTCGTCACGTGAATCATGTGAAACAGTTATGAATAAAAATTGTGAAAAAACGAGTTAATATTTAAACCATATTTAATTTTAGAAAATTTGTATTTATATCAATTAATTTTGATTTATTTGTTTTATAAAGGTTGGAAAAGTAAACTTTTAATGTATAAGGAAGAAGGATTCAATCAAATTGAAAAATCTACTGAATTGTATGTTATTATTTTGATTGGTATAGTATCAATAATCTTAGTATTTTATTTTCATATTGTGCACCCAGAACGTTATTTGTCATTGTCATCAGTATACATAGACCATCAACTATGGAATAACGTTAGTTTAGATGTAGATATGGTTTAGATATTGTTCGCATATAACCCGCATTTTGTGTTATTTCTGTCTTTCATGTAAAGTTGTAAGACGTTCTTATTATCCCACCAAAAACAGTTCGTTATAACTCCGTGTAAAAAAAAATTAGTATTGATTAAATCTTAAAAGACGTGATATAATAATATGGAAACTAAGTAAAATGTAATTTTATAATATTAAAAATATTTAGTTTTTAGTAAATTGTGTTTTGATTTGAAAAGGATTTGTATCAATGTATATTTGTCTAGGATTTCGGTGGCATATTATTCATTAACTTATTTTTAATGCTAACTTAGAGGACAAATTCTAAATATATCAAAATCATCAATTTCTAAATGTACGCAAAGACAATGATTTTAAAAACTAATTGTCATACAAATGATTCTCATTATACTCAGTTATGCATAGATTTTAGGTAATATTTCTTTTGTTGTACCTAGTTTATACGAAAACCGTGACTTTCACAAACCCTGTAATTTGGCCACTAAGTTAGCATTAAAAATAAATTTACAAAGAATATGTAACCGATATAATATAATATAATATAATTCTAGACATTAGACAAGTATACATTGATATAAATCCTTTTTCAAGTGAAGTAACACCTCCATACAATGTTGTCTCCTCACCAGCTACAACCCTGCGTTGCAGAACTCCATCAAAACTTAAAAAAAAAAAAAGTGAATTTAATATCGAAGAAATCTTGTATAGTCTTATTAATCATTGTTGTGAGCAATAGCATTGCTGACGATCATAATTGCGTCGCAAAACTCCATCGAAACTTCGGTCACCCCGTGGTTCGTGTCGCGAGCTAAACGACGCATCTACACACGAGACCCAGTGGAACCGGAGGAATCCGATGCGTTGTTTATGGTGTGGACTGGTCATTTTTAAATGAGTTATGAGTGTGTAAATTAAAAATATTATTAAAAATTACACGAGAGTTCTGTAATTCATTTAAAAATTGCACATCTTCTTAAATGGGAATTTTTGATTTATACGAGCATCATAATAAATGTAAAAAGGTATTCATTATATTACATTTTTATCATTCTTATTTCCTAAGTATTTAATACTTTATGAAGAATATTACATTGGGTGTATGTAATGGAAAATTAGAAATATTATTTACTAAATAAAATATACCTTCGAAAATAAAATATTAAGATGATTGATACTATACCAATAATCAAAATAATAACATACAATTCAATAGATTTTTCAATTTTATTAAATCCATCTTCTTTATACATTAAAAGTTTACTTCTCCAACTTTTATAAAATAAATAAATGATAATTAATTGATATAAATACTGTTGTATCATGCATACTATATAAGAAATATTACAATTAGAACTATTAACTAGGTTAAGTAAACAATCATATGTAACTGCCAACTGGTAAAAATTTAACTAAATGAAGAATTAAATATATCTTTATTACTTATAGGATTTCTTAAAAAGAATAATACATGGGAATAATAACATATGATACCTATTTGATTAATAATAATTAATTATATATTCCTCATGCAAAATATAAATCTAGAGTTGCTAAAGTTGTTTTTGTAGCTTAGTCGTAGAAAAAAAAATTCAAAAATCAGCCATTAGATAGAAAAAAAAATTATAATGACCTAATATCAATGAGGAGCAATTTTTATTTTACAATAGAAACAAAAATCTTAGAAAAATATTCTGTGCACGAGAGAAATTTTGATTTTGAGCTCAAATAGTCAGTGTAGTATATTAGATTTGCATGTATTAACCGAGAGCATCATACAAAGAAAAACTACAATGTTAAAGGACCATTTGAAATTTGTTTATATAAATAGTATTGCATTGCATTTTAATAATATCTTATCATATTCATTTAACAAATAATAAAAAATATTACTATACGTAACAACCAATATTGTAAGATTATAGCCCAATAATACTTTTATTGACCTAATATTTTATAATGAAAACTGCACATTATTCATTTTTGTCTAATGCTACATACTGTTTTTGTT